ATATATATATATATATATATATACATATATATATATATATTTGTACTGCTGAAAATGTGTCTCAGTTGCAAAGTAACATAGGTTATTGAATATACACCCACAAGCCTTCCCTTTCCAAATAAAACAAAATAATGAGATCTACAGAATTTATTTCTGGATCCAAAAATAAACACATGAGAGACAAAATCAACTATATCATTTTTTTAGGCAATTACCTGCCATCCTGTTACCTATTTTTAGACACTCAAGTGTAGACTCTCATTTGGAAAGGAAAGAACTGGATATTATTTCAGATCTATGTCCCATGGTGTATTTGCTTTAGCTTGGCCAAAATGGTGAATTTAATGTTCCAAGAAAGGCATCTGCCTAAGCATGTGTACACGCACACACACAGTTATATTAGGCATTTAAAAAAGCATACAACGTGTACATCTACAGTGGTAGACAGACTAGGAGAGTGGTTCAAGCATCATCAGGACCTTGCAGAGTTGCTGAGACATAACAGGTACTCAAAAAACATTTGCTGAATCAATGAAAAAAAAAAAAGGGTTCTGTTTCATAGACTCTTTTGAGAATCTGCTAAAAACTAGAGGTCCACTTATGAGAAAAAAAGACAAACGTACATATGCACGATATTTTGCCTAATTTTAGGGGACCTGTGCACCAAATGAAGCTTCAGAACCCTAGTTAAAGGTCCCTGAAAACAAAATTAAGCCCAAAGGCAGTGGTTGTGTACTTATATTATCTGTACATTAAATTTTTATAGGTAATTTAATACCTATTAAAACTTTTAATAGGTAAGTTCTATAAGCTCAAAATGGTATTAATTTGTGTTATCTCAGCTTGAACTCTAGCTCTTTAAACCAACATGATGGAGAAATCATTCTAACATGACTATACTTTGGAATCTGGGAGAGTTAATTTATTTATTGGAACTATTTGAGGGCTTTAAGGTAAGGTGGTCTCATCTAAGTTACAATGTGTCTGTTAGCCTAAGGTATACCAGTATAATTTATTCCATTTCAAGAATGAAGACTACATCTATGAATTGTTCGTTAACTGCTTGCTATGTTTTATTATGTTTTCTGCGTTTAACAGTGGCTTCAAAATATTTAAAGGTGGGAAAAAAAGTAAAAACTCCTTGACAAAAAAACTGTGTGACCTTATATTTTTAAAAGGTAAAAGCTGTTAGCTATTCCAACTTAAATAAATCTAGTGCCGAAGAAAGGGCTATTCACACTTTAGCAAAAGCTAAAGAAAAAAACCAGCCAGGATAGCAACTTTTCTCCCAGGCACCTATTTCCTCACAGGGAAGAGAAGACCCAGAGAACAGATTAGATTTATACACACTGTATGATACTACAATGTTTGGCTTAGAAATAATAAGTATTAGGGATATAAAGTAGCATGGATAAAAGGCATTTGGGTAGAGATGAAATTGGCCCAGAAATACTCTTCCCCCCAGAATTTTATTATCAAAATTCCTTGCAGCCACAGACAACTATCATTGCTTGCAATTAGAGTTTAAGGGCAACTGGAGGAAGGAAACCAGTTAAAATTATAACAAAGCCAAAAAGTAAAACAGAGTACAAGGTCCGAACAATAACAGAGCCAAGGAAAAAACCCGAAGTCCTGTTGTAGCCGTAGCCGAATACTATGGAATAAGCAGGGACTTTAAAACCAGACAGGCTCTGTGATGACCTAGATGGGTGGGATGGGGGAGGAGGGTTGGGAGGGAGGTCCAAGAGGGAGGGGATATATGTACACATATAGCTGATTGACTTCGTTGTACAGCAGAAACTAACACAACATTGTGAAGCAACTATACTGCAATTAAAAATAAATATAAATAAATAAAATAAGCCTAAGTAACTTAAAAAAACAGAACTAGGTTTGAGTTCTAATTGAGTCACTTGCTACATGTATGACCTTATGAATGTTATTAAAGCCTTGATTTCTTCACACAGAAAAAGAGAATAACAGTATATAATACTGTATCACTGGATTATATGGAGAGTTACAAAATATCAAAACACATCCTGATTTATTCTTGGTATTCATTAATTGGTAGCTAATATCATCTCAAGTCTTTTATCTCCTATAACATTTTTATATTGATAGAATATGATATTCAGCATTTATCCTATCATTATAAAAATGAGCTTATTTCATTGAGAAAGGGGTAAAACACTTGCTTACACTGAATGTATCTTTTGAGTCTCAACAATAAGTATCTGGAGGACTTTAATTATGAGGTCTAATAACAGAAACAACACTTTTCAGTGACTATTTCCTTCATTAGTAGAAGGCTAAAATTCCCAGCAATCATAATAAAAATTTAAGTAAGTATCTTGGTACTCCAAGTTCTATTAATAAGCCACTATCATTAAGTTGAGAATATAAAACATTAACTCATTTGCTGATTATATGTACCCATATATATGTAAGCAAATACGTACATTATATTTGCATTTAATTTCGTCTAAAAACTAAGATAAATCTAGGTATATTAGTTATCAAGCATAATATATTTGTCATGAAAACTATTTTATTAAATCAATTTTACCTGTGAATGAGAATCTAGAAAGAAATCTTCTATTTGGGGATCGCTGAATGGCTGATTCCAGGAAGTTAGTTTTAGTGAATTTCTGTGACTCTCATCTTCCAGTGAAAAATCACAAGAATGTTTTCCATCAACCTTTACAATTTTTGTGGAATACGAAATAGTTACTACATGCACTATTTCCTTAGGAAAAAAACAAACTATGCCTAAAAAAGCAAAGCTTAAGAAAATTCATATTATTCTGAGGTACTCAATTTTAACAATGATTATAATGATATTACCCCCCCAGCATTTTTCCTGAGTATCTTAAAGTAGTTTATAAAAATGTTATACGTCTTAATTTATAATGAAACTCAGTGGCAGGGCATGAGACCCCTCTCTCTCCCTCTTTCTCTCTCTCTCTCCCTCTCTCTCTCTCTCTCTCTCTCTCTCTCTCTGGCAGTCAAGAAAAATAAGATGGAAAAAAGTGACATATGAGGAGAGGGAAGATGGTGGCAGCAGCAGCATAGTTTTTTAATCTCTCTGAATCCCAGCATTAAAACAGATAGAATTAGGGAGCAAAACCTAAAATTCATCATCTACATTTACAAAGAAACTAAGTTTATTAAAGGTATCCTCAGGAAACTGAAACTACAAGCATGTGAGGAAAAACCACCAACAGCCCTAAGACCTGCATGGTACAACATCTGTGTGGGAGAAAGCAGAGGCAGGCAGTGAGGTGCCTGAGAACAGGAGAACCAAACAGCCCACAGGTATACACTGGAAAGGTTTATTTGAGAACAGCATCTGAAAAGTGGGAGGGCCTTTGCCCAACCCAACAGCAGGCGATGGAAAGGGGTCCACAGCAGCGTCTTAAGTGACTAGAGCAGCTGGCACCTATGAACTTCCAGGTGAAGGCCTGACACTGAGAACTGCTGGGGTTAAATCAAAAGCAAGCAGGACGGGTATAATAGAGGCAAAGGGAAGAGAAAGCCCAAGTAAAAGTAGCAGAACGGGGTATGTCATAAACCAAGTGTCCCTATTTTGAATGCTACACAAAAACAACAGGAGAGCTCTGGGAACTTGGAAAAACTATCTTGAAGCATGCCGTCTTTTGAAAGTGCAGGAAAACTAATTTCACACAAAAAGGAGCAACAGGAAGTTATGAGGTCAAATCTGACACCGACTTGCTATATAGAAAACTGTAACCTCCTAAAATGAGCTGAAAAACATTAAGAAAATAATTCAAAACAAACATCATAAATTAAAATCAGAAAAATTCAAAAGTGAGGGGAAAAGCTCTGGAAAGAATTAGAAATAAAAGAAAAAATTATAGAAGTGAATATTAAACTATAAAGAACATAGCAATAAATATAACAGATTGTTTCCAAACAGAAATAGAAGGTGAAAAAGAAGAAAAGTTTAATTTAAAGAGAAATGAAAAGCCAAAAAGAATTCATGAGAAGTGACAGATATTGTAGCTCAGTAAAGAAGATCCAACATATAGAGAGCAGAAATCTGTTAAGAAGAACTACAAAGCAATGGGACAAAAATACTAAAAAGTAAAATTTTAAAAAACTTCCTGAAATAAACAAAAATTTTAAATCTGCAATTTAAGAAAACTTTCCAGAAATAAAAAAAAAAACTACACATTTAAAGAATCCATTGTGTACCTTCGTATATTGAATCAGAACTACCATTATCAAGACATAATCTTCCTCCAGTAAAACGTAGGCATGATTGAGCTTCTACCTTAACTGCAGTCACAATAGATGTAAACCTAACAATGCATCAACTAATAAGAAGAATTTGTTTTGACATTATTTTTTATTAGAAACCTCATAATCATAAGATGAAATAGACTAAGGGATACAACCCAGGTCAGTAGAGAAGATGAATATTAACACATGAAGGATCCTGAAACCAGGCCTCCAACGGACTCTACAGTGCTCAGTGTAGCTTTCTATACTGGAAGGCAGACGAAAGAAAAACACTTTGGCTGGCTCACTCACCCCTTAATCTACTTCCTAGCCCCAATATTCTTGTTCCCCTAAATGGGGAAAAAGAAAAGGCTGAATCCGGTAGGCTTAATTTCCACCCACCCACCCAAAATACCCCCACTCTTTTTTCAGAATATGATGTTATTTCAATAGGAGGAAAGCAATAATATTAATGTGTGGTTATAACAGTATTTCACTATAAATGTGCTTTGATATTTAGGAAAAATAACAAGTTACACCTTTTCCTATTGACAGATACAGATGGGAAAAAAATAAGGTCTTAGGCACCTGGTATAGATTTCAGAAATAAAAGGCTGGGAAAGCAGCCAAATTTCACTACCACCTGCCCAACGTATATCTCCTTTAATGCCCCCCCTTTTTTTTTAACATCTTTATTGGAGTATAATTGCTTTACAGTGGTGTGTTAGTAATGCCCTTCTTATAGCTAACTCAATTGCCAAAATAATGTAAAGAATTCCAGTTAATAAAATTTCATTAGGTTATCTAGTACATGACTATATACAAATCTAACTGAAGGACAGAATTTTAAAAGATCAGTTCCTCTTACTTTTTAAGCTATTGAGAAAAGGAGTTTAACTGTTGGAAATTCTATAAAGATTACTTAGAACTGAAATAAAGTCCCTAATTCTCTAATATAAATAGTAGCAACCACCTACCACCATGCTGAATTTATCATCTAGGGACTAAAGTAATTTTTGAGTTAATTATAGTTTTCACAAACTTTTATCATGGAACTTTAGACCTGGAAGATATTAAAGGTCAAATTTTCAAGTCTTTGCAATTATTTAGTAGAGTCACATTGTCAAAGAATAGTTATTCTCTGATGACTATTTATTTATCTCATATAACAGAGCAATAATATTCAAAGCATTTGATTTTAATAAAATATACCATGTAAAAATAATACTAAACTCATGGTCTTTCTCTGATCATGCAAAAGTGCACTGGGATATGGCCAGGACCATGAGCAACAATTATCCTTGTACCTGAGAGATTCACTATAACAGGAACAGAGCCTGAGGAGTAACAGAATGATAGACAAATTCCAATATCTGGGGAGGTATATATCATAGAATTTGGTCTTATTTTCATTAACCACATAAACTACCATATGCTTACAGCCAATATTAAATATATCTATGAAAGAAAGAGAATTTCCAGACTATATAGTCAATATAAAGTAGAGGTAAAATTTAAGCTGACATTCCCATACAATAAGCTAAATAGTAGATGGACTATATTCCTCTTTTCCCACTGTTTAAAAAATCTCTTTACTCAGATCGGATTTATGAAAAGCAACAGAAATACAGCACCAAGATTTTCTAAAAAGTAACCTTGCATCAGAATTTATAACAGTTCAAAAAATAACAGCATTCTGGTATTAAGATATGCAAATTGAACGATCTGACACTATATGAAAATTCTACATATAATTAACACCTTGGTATTAGTGCCCACTTCTTCCTTCCTTCTCTTAGAATTTGAACAGCTTTCTTCAGAGTTGGGGAAACATCTCTTTTTGCTGGAATCACATGAAGATTGGCATAGCATCCTGTTTTCGCAGCCTTTTTCCAGGATCTCAGTTGCCATGTAGATAAGGTAGGTGTCAATGTTTTCAGGAACATACATTCTAATTAGTTTAATTTTATTTGTATCTGTAAAGGATGAAAAAAAAGATTTAAAAGTAAATTACACAGAACACTGCAGAAAACCTATGAGCTGGAAATAGTGACACGTTTTGTAGAAAGGAAGGAGGAAGGTGGCCAAAGAAAATGTTCCTCTTTCAAATGCCTATCCCCTTACAGAACAGAAGTGGAGTAAAACATGTCCCCTCACTCCTGCACCACCTGCACCCCTGCTTCCAAGAGCCAGAGTCAGGTCAGGCTATCGACTCTGCTTAACTTTTGTTTCAAACCATCTTTTGAGGGCTGCCCTGAGAATCAAAACCACCATCCACAGAAATTCCAAATATCAATTATAAGTTAATTTTTTGAAAATAATTTAGCCTTAAAATAGAAGCTAATCATACTTGTAAATAAGATGCTAATAAAAAGGATTCTTTCAATGGCTATCAAAGCATAACAAAACACGTCAACTATTTAAAATGCCTATTATTTAAATAAGTTTTCTGGGAAAGATATTTTATTTTCAGATCTTATTTGCCCTAACTTTCCACACAAGTAAGTGCTGAAAATATCTATTGGAGAGTGAAATAATGAGCACCGCCTGCATTCTTTCAGTGCTTAAAAGAGATCATATTACCCCTACTTTTGTGGCAGGTCCCTTGGAAGCCACCCTTAATTTTCTAGTTACATGCACATAAAGAATGAAAGAACAGGGCTTCCCTAGTGGTGCACTGGTTAAGAATCCGCCTGCCAATGCAGGGGACACGGGTTCAAGCCCTGGGCCCGGAAGATCCCACGTGCCACGGAGCAACTAGGCCCATGAGCCACAACTACTGAGCCTGCGCGTCTGGAGCCTGTGCTCCGCAACAAGAGAGGCCGCGATAGTGAGAGGCCCACGCACCGCGATGAAGAGTGACCCCCGCTCGCCGCAAACTAGAGAAAGCCCTCGCACAGAAACAAAGACCCAGCACAGCCATAAATAAATTAATTAATTAATTTAAAAAAAAACTTAATGAGCAGTACACTTTAAATATTGTATGCCAAAATACCTCAATAAAGCTGTTTTAAAAAAAAAGAACAAAATTATTAAAAATACTTTCCAGGTACCTCATTAAATACTTTGCTTCATTTATTATTAAGCATAGTTAGAATCTCAACTCCATAAGAGAAGCAGCTTAAAGTCATATAAACATGGAAAAAACTAAAAGAATAAAAAGGTACAGAATTCCTTAAAATATTGTTACAAGGACAAAACCTACTTAGCAAATAAGATAGCATGAAAATAACAGATATAATTTCTCAATTCACAAATACTCTATTTTTAAGATTAAGATTATGCCATAATAAAATATAGAAAATTTTCAATTCAAGATTGTGCAAAATTTAAATGCCAACAAACTTGTTCATTAAAACACCAAATTATGTGATATGGCTACAGTTAAGTAAAAGGTGAAATATCATATCTGAATCATTAGTGTGGCATAGATGTCTTCATTTCTTATTATAATTTATAACTCAACAATGTTCCCTCCAGTAAGAGAACAAATAGTATTTTATCAAGGAAAAATAAGAATTTAAAAATAAAATTTCATATCAATAAATGATATATTACAGACTATAACCATACAATCAAAAGAAATCAAGTTTAGAGCTCATGATACTTATCTTTCTCAATTTTGGCTTTGGAAGTAAATTATAATAATACATTTTTTCGTATTACTTGTACAACCTATATACAGTGTATTGACAGAAAGATAAAGTAAGTGTTTAATAAGTATAATTTAAATTTATCTTTCTCAATTTTGGCTTTGGAAGTAAATTACAATAATATATTTTTTCGTATTACTTGTACAACCTATATACAGTGTATTGACAGAAAGATAAAGTAAGTGTTTAATAAGTATAATTTAAATTCCATTGTTCTTTGGAATTTCAATTTAATATTTAACTGAATGAAAATTTATTTGCTATACTCAGTGTATAATATAATAGTAAAGACAATAGGAAAAAGGGAAAAAAAGTGCACAAACTCAGAGAATACTGCATACTATCAAACAGCTCATCAAAGATATATCTTTCTCTAAATCCTGAGAGACAATACATACATAAAGGAAAAAATAATTCTAGGGTATTAAAATCAAGAAGGCATCTGAGTCTTTGACTTTCTCTAAAATACTATTTCATTCTGCACTGGAGAAAGAGAGGTTTTATACAATCCCAATTCTAACCCTGCAATTAATTACTGTTGTCCTTCCTCTTCCTTAATTTCTAGCAAAATGGTTGCTGAAGTTAGAAAGACCCAGGAGAGCGACCAGGAGAGCTGGCTGGCTTCCTCACAAGATGACTCACAGCTAAGTGACCCTGGATATTTTATCGCAGTACAGGATTTGGCCCTCACTGTTTTCAGATTTACAAACCTACTTTAACCTTAATAGAGACACATTAACCAAGCTCACAAAATGCCAATTCATTAATTTCCAATTATGAATTCACAACTATCATATAGATAAGTACCCAGATTAGCAAGACTAGAGCATATTTTCCCTATAGACAGACCTACATGGGAAATCAAATCATAACCAGAAAGCTGTGATACAGAAGCAGAATTAGGTGTTAAGGTATCTCCCTCAAATAAGATCTTGACATAAGCTATCAACAGGCCCTGAAAACACTTGGAAGTCTCATTGACCAGGATTAGAAATTACATATTTCTTTCCTTTAAATAGTTGGCAATACAACTTTAACATGGTATAGTAAAAAGAGAAACTTCGGTTTCCTGGAACTAACTTAGAGGACCACTGCCCAAACTTGCCTCTGTCTCCCTCCTTGCCTCCAAGGTTGAGCAATGGAAGGAGAGATGGAGGTGTCCTTCAGTCAAGTCTTGCTCAAGCCTAGAACAAATGCTGCCTTTGAAGGTGACTTAAATACCTTTCTTCTGATCAGTTAAGTATAGTATTAATTGTGATCTGTTTTCCCTTATTTCTAAATCTGGGGGGAGAACTGTATACTCGTTCCTGAGTGGGAAAGAATTTGAGGTAATAAGTTTAACTATTTGCACTGCAGCTTTGGAGATAAGGCTTTTTGTATGTCCACTGCTCTGTCCTAACAGTCAAAAAAAACTTAACAGATTTATTGAATTATAACACACCTAGTTTACATTTGTACATTTAGGGTGTGAAAATCCTTCTACTCCACCTCATCTTTACTTCTGTAAAAAAGGGATCATAATTTTAAAATAGGCATATTTTTAAATTTTCTGCAAGGCAAACAAAGGGGCTTGATCTCCATGAGTACAGTTGAGGTTCTGTAGCAAAGTGACAGGAGAAAACCCTTCTACAAGGGGCCCAACAGAACTCAGTCCAACCCTTCAATGCCACAGTGCCTGACACTATTGACTGTATTGATGAGAAAGACTACTTAGGTAAAACCAGTGACAGGGAATCAGAAAGATTTAGAAAAAAAACTAAGAGTCAGTGAGCTATGGGGAATGAATGTGTGTTTTTTTCAAGTGATAAAGTAGAAATCAGAAAAGGATGAAAGAGCACTGTTTGGGGGATGGGTGTGGAAGTTGTAACCTGAAGCTGAAAAAAAAAAGCAAGAATTTCTCAGACTCAGACTTCTGAGTGATAATGGGAAGAAAGGTTGTTTTTCTGAAACAATAAAAAGCATTACAAAAGTAAAGTTTTCATAGTAGCATAAAGGGTTAATGCGATCAGAGTGAAAAATATTAGTGGATTGCTTGTTTAATTCATCTGGGTTCAATGACTCAAGTCATTAAGGCTGCAGACCAGGGTCATGGTTATCACCTGAGTTGATGGGAGGGTTTCGGATAACATCAGCAATAGTCTTCTGAATCTCTGGAGTCAGACCTGCTCGCTCCATATCGAGCGGGTAGCCAGCTTGCACCGCTTGGGACAAGTGCATGCCAACTGCTGTGAGAGGCAGAATCCTGTTCTCAGCTACACTCTTCTAGAGAAATAGCAGCAAAACAACCAGTGAGTTTTTTTTAAGTTTCCACTATACAAGGTCCAAAACCTTCAGGTAGTAAATGTTCACTGAGAAATAAACAGTGGACTAAACCTTCATTTAAATTTCTCATTTTAACTAATTCTTTAAAATGACTCACATGCTAGAACTCCACAGGTGCTTTTTATACTTATTATATTGAATACAGCAAAATCACCCAGGTTTAGCTAAGAAATCAATCCTCATTCCTCTGTAATTAGTCACCTTAAAAACCTATTAGTGACAGAGAGTAGTCATTCTATGTAAGTCTAATAGCTGCCACAACCTTTTAAAAATACAGTAAACTGAAACCCAATAATGTATATACTTGAAATAACACACGGTACTTCAGTTACATGAATTTCCAGGAAGACAAAACATAAAATGCTTAGCAATAACATAAGGCTCCAAATGTACTCTAGAAAAGGTTCTCAAGAAGAGTTTAAAAAGTGCTTTAAATTGGCTCTATTCATAAAATAATAATAACCACAATTTACAAGTGGCTGTCATCATTTGCCTAGCATTGAATTTAACATGAATTGTGCTAAATTAAGGACACTGTTACATATTTATGTAGCTTTTAAACAAATGTAGCTCCAAATCCATTTAAGATGTCTGTTAGATAAAACATTCTTTTAAACATTCAGAAAGTTTAGTCACTCAGCTCTAAATTATTTCATGGCACTCTTTTTTAACACACCTTGAAAGTCTGAATTTGGACTGTATTTGTATGAATGCTGATATTTTCACAAAATAGAGCATTTAAAGCAATATTTTCATCCTTCAAAGGAAGGTTTTAAGTTACTTTCACTAAATGTCTACACTTTTTCTACTAGAAGATGTGTACCATGTGTGCATAATATCAGGGTTATTTGATATCAGGCATCGTATTACCTAAAACGAATTGTATTATTCCTCCTGATTAATTGGTCCTTAGGCATGTTTAATTTTGCAGGTAACTGGCAAGACCCCCTCAGACTCCTGGGATGTACAGATAATTACACAATATTTCACAATAATATACAACCAAATAATAGCAAAAGACACAAATGAAGATATATCACTCCTCACATTTTTAACCATGAATGTGTAATATAATACATGAAACTTCATATCCTGGCTAAGTATGAGAATACAATTTATTTTAAAATTTTGGAGGCTATTCCATATTTTCTTAGTAATTATATACAGTTATACCATACATATTTGGTCAAATTGTGTATATACAAGCATGTTTTACATGTACATGTAAGTTACTGTTTAAGTAAGAGAATGAACTTAAAATTCCTATTTATCATGTAATATGTTTCAAAAATAGTTCAATGGAATTATTTGGTTCTTTGTGTAATGGCTTTTGTACTTTTAATTAAGGGGTTTGGCTATGTAAGTAGAACATATATTAAGTGACTACGATAAGCTATGGACTGTTTATTCTTATTTATATTGGATATTAACCAGAATAGAAAGTGTGTAACATAGCCTAGTGGATGGAGACACAGAGAACAGGAAAAGCAGGCCCTGGACCATACAGCCTAATCTAAACCAATTTAACATTAGAGAGGACAGGAATGCAAATTAGTGAAATTTAGCTGGAAGCCTCATTCTGTCCCTATTCCACTAAGATATCCTCTTCATTTTGTATATTTAAAAAATCTCAACAGCCTTAAGGACTTATGCCAAAACAATAAAGAAACATTAAGTATGGCCATTTTTCACAGTAATCAGATTTTTTTCAAAGAGCATCAAGCAGACATGATTAAAAAAAAACAGAACATTACACTAGAGGAGATAGAGTGAAAAGCAAGTTTGTTATTTTTTTTAACTTATTTCTAACTTCTTCGACATCCTTCAGAGATATTCTATGCACTTTTGTATACATACCCAAGGATACGTGAATATATAAGCATGCAAATATATATACATACACATTTATGTATGTTTTTCACAGTGCTATGCATCTTCCTTTTTCTACTTAACAATGTATCTTGGAGATTATCTCTTATCAGTATATACAGTAATAGTTTTTTAACTATTAATCCCATTTAAAAAAATGGAGTCTTAAAATATGACTGCTCCAATATCCCTAAGCTATAAATGCATTTATCAGTACCTCTGATACAACCTCTATAAGATAATCATGGTCAAACTATACTTGCTGTTTTTACTTAATTAACAGAAAAGGGCTTAGCAGAAAAAGCAAATGACATTCTGTTCTAAAATTAATTATAAAATGAAACCACATAAAATATTGTAGGATTAGAAGAAATTTATCCCAAGTCTCAACTTTGATATTGAAAAGCTGATAAAACACGTTTAGATAAACTTAAAAATTCCCTCTAACTTGAAAGTAACACTTACCAAACACATTTTCTTTTCTTGGAATAAAGAATATGTGATGGCTGCAGACTGTGAAAGTGAGCTTGCCTTATTTTTCACCACCAGACTTTTCTTCTGTTCTTCTTGTGGTTTTCTACTTGAAAAGAGGTCTGTCTACAAAATTTTAAATGTAGCACAAATGATCAAAAATAATATCAATATAATGATTGAAAGAATATCAACATGATCATTAGCTATTAGTGAAAAAAATAACACGAATAAAACCTCTAAGGAGCAGCTCCAAATTCCCTTTTTATGAGGAGCTCAAAAAGTTTTTTTTATTTTTTACATATTGATTTTAAAAGGTAAAATAAGGCTAGAGTGAATAAGTTTTGAATAAAATATTTGTAATTACAAACATGGTTGTAAAACTAGAAATTCCTAGTCTTCCCTTTAAGCCAATAAGATGAACTAAAAATGAACTATAATGTGGACCACTCTGCCTCTAAATTAGTCCCCTAATCCCCCAGAATTGAATAGTGAATGAATGAATGACGCTTTAATTTCTATCTACATTTGAAAGTAAAATAATTTCTTAGTCTAAAATACAGTACTTATTCAGATTTAAAAACAAAACCTCTCAGCAAAATAAACAGACATAAGCAGGTTTGACAACTATTACTTCAGAATCATCTTAAAAATTAGGTAACTAGTGGTTATCAGTGGGGAGAGAGGTGGAGGAAGGGGCAAGATAGGGGAAGGGAGTTAAGAGGTACCAACTACTGGGTATAAAACAAATAAGTTACAAGGATGTAATGTACAGCACAGGGCATATAGCCAATATTTTATAATAACTTTAGAGTATAATATATAAAAATATTGAATCACTATGTTGTACATCTGAAACTAATATAATATTGTAAGTCAACTATACTTCCATTTAAAAAAATAGTAACTAACTTGTTTTTATAACTGATTTACTATAGAAACTATCTGATTCATTTTCTAAGTGTACAGCATAGAAATGAAAAATGCTGCTTTTGAAGGGTGTTTTGTAATTGTCAAAAAAGGTTTATTCTCTCAGAGCTCCTGCAAACCATAGTATTTTACCTGAAGACTATTTATTTGACAGAAATGTTTGATGACTTCCAATAGAGGGGCCAACATTGTAGCTTTGCCTTCAGAAACACCATCGATCCTTTTCACATTTTCAACTGTAGTAGGTCTGTCGTTTAAAAAAATTAAAAAGTCAAGAAACCACTGAAACGTTACCACTCCAGCAACACAGCTAATAGATATTTAGCTTCAATACTGACACTCAATAAACATGAATTTTTTTCCAGCAACCAAATCCAATGTATAAACAAGTAATCGTGTTTTATGATTCCTAGAGGATAACTAAGAGGCTAAGAAACTCAGAAGAAAATCTCATTCATTATTTACAAAGTTTTTACCTGTAACAATAAACTAGCTAACTAACTACTTCAGGCTTTTAATATTTCTTATTGTGTCCAATATGAAGAGAATGTCTGATGTCTTCTTTCTAAAAATCTGCCAGTCTAATGATTACTCCTTTTCCTTTAAATATCTTCACTGAATATTAAAATGTGGTCTTTGAATATTTATTTTTAATGAAATAATTATTATAAGGTATATGTACTATGTAACATTATTAGAAAATTCTTCTCTAAAGTAACATCTCTTGAATGAAATTTAGCAACAGAAACAATTTTTGAAAAGGAAGTATACAAGATGAGTACAATTACCAAGCAACAATTCTTTGGAAATAATTTCTTCTAAATATTTATTGACCACCTAGTGATTATTAGGCATTGTGCTAGGTACTTTGGAAAACACAAAAAGATGAGGAATATAACATCTTCATCACAGAATTTAAAATCTAGAAGACACATATACATGAATACCAATAATAACAAAAAAATAAATAAAGCATTATGTAATAAGTGCCATAGAATCATCTTTTAAATTTACATTTAAAAGTCCTTTATGAATTCCACAGAGGAATCACTTTGCTGATAAGAACATGGAAGGCTTCATGGAGCAAATAACAATAAAGCCAGATCTTAAAGGATTTCCTAATAGGAGTTTTGGGAAATCAAGGAAACTACAAGTCAGAAGCAACATTGTAAATAAGTATATGGAAGTTGAAAAGGAGACAAACAAATGGTAAACAATCTAGGTAAGATTAAGCATTAAAATTCTGTGACTCAGATGGAAAAGAAGGTTTAAGTCCATAAATGGAAGGCCTTGAATTGTGGGCTAAATAAGTTAAGACAGTAGGAAACTAGTTAAGCAGAAGTACAACATGATAAAGATTAATTTGGTATTCATATATCAGAGGTATTTGGTATTCATATATCATATCAATCATATATCAGAGAGAGAGAGAGGCTGAAGAAAGAGTAACTAGTTAGAGGCTTTTGCAACAGTAAAAGGATAATGGTCTGAACTACCATGGTGTCACTAAAAAAGAAAAGCATAGACACAGAAGAAACACTGAAATGAAAAAGTCTAAAAACTATATAATATATGAGAAAGATGGGAATATATGTTAGAATAGTAACAGTAACATCAGAGGTATTAAACAGGCGTGACTAGGAACATGACAGTATGACTAACAAAAATAAGGAATTCAGAAGGAAGAGTTTTGGCATTTGCATGAAATGAATGTACAGAGGGTTGGTGGGTAGTGAGTTAGATTTTATATACACTGGATCTGATTGCTGAAAAGAGTTGGTTTCATGTGGGACTAAAGCTCAGTGAAGAAACAGATCATTGGCAGCAACATGGGAGATTTGGGAACCACCTCTTGGATGTGACTGCGGGAGCCATAGTCATATTATCGCTAAATGATGTATTTTACAAATCTATTATGTTAGAAGAAAATAAGTTAGAAATATGCAAATAGTTTACCTCATTTGGGCCATATCCACCAGTATCTTATTTGTTGCCAGAATAGCTGGAGGAACATTCATTTTATTGGCATGTTTCTGCCTAGCTTCCACCAATTTGCCATATAATGTAGTCTGAACGAAAAGCAAAGAAACAACATTTGTTTAAATGTACTTAGAAAAATCCAGCCCTTTATTTTTAGAGCTTCAGATATTACATTTCCCCCTTAGGATGAAAAATGAACTGTATCTTAGCCTCTTAGCTAAAGAACAATTTTTAAAATACTGGCAAGAGAATTTTAAGCATGCACAGACTCATAACTATCTTCTCAAAAACTAACTGCCTTTTTACAAAAGCCATACCTGAGTCTCCTGCTCTTTGGCTGAAATAACAGGTTCTAAGGACTTGTAATATTTTCCTGGTGATGGCACCATGATGCTAAAACATTTAAAAGAAAAGAAATAATAAAAGCTTTTCTTTCTCCAAGTTCACTTTTTATTTTGCCCCCAAAATGAGAATATCTTTCCAAATCAATATTAACATTTATTTGTCACAACACCAGTAAGGCAACTATTACTTAAATGACAGCCTAGATTTTAAACATTTTGTATCAAATACATTCATTATAGAGGTAAAATTAAAACTATAATTTGAGTCAATCACAAAATTGGTGCAATTAAGAACAGCACTTGCCTCCTCCTCATCAATCAAATACTTTGAAAGAAAATACTCCTTATCTATACCAAAGTAAATTTTTTTCTAACCAAAAATGATACAATCTATAATTCTTCTTGTGATAGCACTATTTTTTGGCTGTTGAGGAACATTAGCATGGAATTAATCAAATTATTCACATTTTTCTTCAGAATCAAACTAAAAAAAAATAAGCCAAAAGGAGTAATTTTGCCTTTGACGCCTCGAAAGAAGAATTTAAAACACCCAATTAGCAATTAACATGGTATGAAAGGCCCAAGACAGCAAACTAGATAGAAAACCAGGTTCTACAAGAGGCAACTTCACAGATAAATTAATTATAAAGAGGAAAAGTTACAAAAATGAAATTGTATAGAATAGCCTATGTAAAAGGTATCAAATTTAAATAAATTTCTGCTTTTGTGGGGGAAAGAGAAGAACATGTTTGATATTTAAGAAATGTTTATAAATTTCCCTGTTTCAAGAATTAAAAATTTACAGTGTAAAGTAAGACTTCATTTTTACAATTATCAGATTTTATCACTAGAATAAAGAGATTTGAACATGAGGAAAGAAAACTCCAGTTCAAAGAATTAGTCATAGCAGGTGACTCAAGACAACTATAAATTTGTTTTAAATAATAAGATATTTACCTTTATCTTAGTATTTACGGAAATCTTTATACTAATGGACTATTTGCAAATTGGTATGTTAAATTATTTCACAAAAAAATTTTATTATTATACTGGCAAAATTCTGTGTAACATATCCCTGAAGCAGAAAAATATGTGGAGAATGTTTGCTAGAAAATGTTTTGCCTATGAATGCTATTACAAGTGCACAGAAGTACAAAATATATAATAAGGGACTTCCTGGTGGTGCAGTGGTTAAGAATCTGCCTGCCAATGCAGGGGACACGGGTTCGAGCTCTGGTTCGGGAAGACCCCACATGCCGCAAAGCAACTAAGCCCCTGCGCCACAACTACTGAGCCTGTGCTCTAGAGCCCGTGAGCCACAACTACTGAGCCCACATGCCACAACTACTGAAGCCCACTCGCCTAGAGCCCGTGCTCTGCAACAAGAGAAGCCACCGCAATGAGAAGCCCATGCACCGCAATGAAGGGTAGCCCCCGCTCGCCGCAACTAGAGAAAGCCCATGCGCAGCAATGAAGACCCAACGCAGCCAAAAATAAATAAAAATAAATAAATTTATTTTAAAAAAAAGGAATCTCAGTAAGTCTGGAATAAATTATGATAGAAAAATCATGAAAATCTTTTAAAAAACCCCAAAATATATAATGAATATCATTGAAGAGATAAGTGGAAATCTTGTAATCATGAATCAAGAAAAGATTGCTATACATGATTAAAGAAAGAGAACAAGAACAAACAGTTCTTAGAAATTAAAAATTTGATATCTAAAATTAAAATGTCACCAGATGGGAGGGGATATAAAGTCAAGGAACTCTCCAAGAGTAAACAAATAAAAACAGATTGAAAATAGGAGAAAATAAAAATTAATAATAGCTTACTCAGCCATTAAAAACAACAAAATAATGCCATTTGCAGCAACATGGATGGACCTGGAAATTTTCACACTAAGTGAAGTAAGTCAGACAGAGAAAGACCAATATCATTATGATATCGCTTATAAGTGGAATCTAAAAAAAAAAAAAAAGTGATACAAATGAACTTGTTTACAAAACAGAAACAGACTCACAGACTTAGAGAATGAATTTATGGTTACCAGGGAGGAAGGGTTGGGGAGAGGGGTAGATTCAGAATTTGGGACTGACATGTACACACTGCTATATTTTCAAAAGATAACCAACAAGGACCTACTATAAAAAAAAATTAGTAATAGGAACACTAAAGAAGTAAAGAAAATAAAAAAGTATTAACATCAAGGAAAATTAAGAGTGGTGACCATAATAACACAGATTGCCTTAGTATTATATAATATTTGAGTAGATACAATAATGTAAAAACAAATTATTAATTTGACCAAAAACTGAAATATAATTTTGTTCTAAGGAAGGGGGGGGTGACATTGATGGAGAAGAAATGAAGGAAGGGGATATGGGAGACAAGCCCTAATTTACCATTATAGGATATCAACAACAAATTTCTAAAACTGGTAAGTCAAAAAAATAGTAATCTAAGCATATCACTTAGAAATACGGAGGCAACCTCATACCTGTCAGAATGGCTATCATCAAAGAGTCTACAAATAACAAATGCTGGAGAGGGTGTAGAGAAAAGGGAACCCTTGTGCACTGTTGGTGGGAATGTAAATTGAGGCAACCACCATGGACAACAGTATGGAGGTTCCTCAAAAAACTAAAAATAGAGCTACCATACGATCCAGCAATCCACTCCTAGGTACACAGCCAGAAAAAACAAAAACACTAATACAAAAAGATACATGCACCTCAATGTTCACTATTTACAATAGTCAAGATATGGAAGCAACCCAAATGCCCATCAACAGACAAATGGATAAAAATGATATGGTGTAGATACATACAATGGAATATTACTCAGCCATAAAAAAGAATGAAATTCTGCTATTTACAACAACATGGATGGACCTAGAGAATATTATGCGTAGTGAAATAAGTCAGGAAGAGAAAGGCAAATACTGTATGACATCACTTGTATGTGGAATCTAAAAAATAATACAAATGAATGTATATGCAAAACTCACAGGTTTTGCACCAAAGGGAAGAGGGAAGAGGGGAGGGGCTAATTAGGAGTATGGGATTGAAAGATACAAACTACTATATATAAAATATATAAGCAACAAGGGTGTATTTTATAGTACAAGGAATTGCAGCCATTATCTTGTAATAACTTTTAAGGGAGTATAATCTGTAAGAATACTGAATCACCTGAAACTATATTGTAAATCAACTATACTTCAATTTAAAAAAAAGGAAAGATGAGGTATTGTCAACAATAGCCCTCTTTCTTAGCCTTTTCCCCACTTTTTTTCAGCCTTTCAAAGAGAAATGTACAATAAATATTAATAAAATATATGCTGAAAAAGTGTTTGTTTTTTTGGCCGCACTGCGCAGCAGGTGGGATCTTAGCTCCCCGCCCCCCCCCCCGGCCCCGACCAGGGATCGAACCCACGCCTGCTGCATTGGAAGCGCAGAGTCTTAACCACTGGACTGCCAGGGAAGTCCCAACAAGGTGTTTTTAAAAAAAGAAATATGGAGGCCAATACCATAGAAACTGGTCAGAAGATCTGAGGGTGACTGTTTCTACAGAACAGAACAAAATGGGTTTGAGAAGGGTGTGAACTGGTGTGCTTTGTAATATGCCTTTAAGTCTCAACTGACTTTTAAAAACATTCACATGTATTATTTTCATGAAAATTCAAATGAAATTTAAAATAATAGTCATGGATATGTAAGCATCTTTTTCACTTCTGTACACTAAGCCCATATATTAAAATTAACTTCTGGACCACTCTACAGTTGTCTCAAATTTAGTATGTCTATCACTAAACTAATTTAACCTCATCCCCTAAACATGCAGCCCTTCAAACCTGTCTTCCTCTTACATAGCCCAGTGAAGGAAATGGCAGCACTCACCCACCATCAAAGACAAAAACCCCAAGCTTCACAGTCATGTTCTCCATCTTCCTAAACCTGCCTATCTTTTCAATCACTGAGTCCTAGCAATTCCATCTCCTAAATATCTTACAAATCTCTCTCTCCCCACCCACTGCCACTTCCCTTGACTAATCTACCATAGCCTCTTGCAAACAACACAACAACAGCCTCCCTATTTGTGTCTCTACAACTATGATCCCCCTGCAGTCCATTCCCTCCACAGACAGAGTCATCTACCACGGGTCGGCATGCTAGGGATGCACAGGCCAAATCTGTCTGTTCTGGTAAGGCTTGTAGTTAAGAATGGCTTCTTCTACATTTTTTAATAGTTAAAAAAATCAAGAGGAAAACATTTTGTGGCATGTGAAAATTATATGAAAATTATATGAAAATCAAATTTCAGTGTCCCTAAATAAAGTTTTATTGGAACACAGCCATACTCATTCATTTACATATCATCCATGGCTGCTTTGAGGCCACAACGGCAAAGCTGTGTAGTTGAGATGGAGACCACATGGCCCTCAAAGCCTAAATTATTTCCTATCTGATCCTTCATGTTTGTCAACCCCTGTTCTCAATCATAAATTTGATCATGTCACTGTTCTGCCTAAAACCTTTCCTTAGTGCCCAACTGCTTTTATGATCAAATCAAGTGCTTGAAAGGAACTGGATATTTGAGACCCTGTTCAACTCTCCAGTCTTAAATTTTCCCACTCCCTTGCTTCCCTCTATCAGGGAATTGCTAGCAAACTGCTGAACCCCTCAATCATGTCATATCCTCTCTTGCTTTCAGGTTTTCTCTCTTGCTTCAGGTTTTAGTACGTGGACCACTCCTCTGCTTAGAAAACATCCCTTCACTTCACCCAACTGCTACTTAAGCCTCAAGTGTCACTTCCAAAGTGTTTCCAAAGTGTTACAACCCTGGATTGTAATTTTCTGTTCCCTTATGTGTATATCCCACTAGAATATAAACTCTGGGAGGGCCAGTGACTATGTCTCTATTATCCTCCACTGAATCCCAGTGCCTAGAATAGTACATGGCACAAAGAAGATGCCACAGGGAATGTTTAAATGAAGAAATGCTTCAGCATATTGAACAGGTATATTGTTCTGCACACTCCTTAAACCTTTTGTTTACATTAAACACAGTATATATCTCCAAACAAAAAGAAATTATTTGTGGGGGAAGACTGGTATTATGGTAAATGTTTCTATCAGATCCAAAGTAGTATTACCTATCTAAGTGAGCAAACCGTTAAAGAACAAACCATTTTCTTTCACGTGCTATGTATGTAAGTGTAGTCCACTAAATCTGTGCATATGTCCTAACAAGTTCTTTAAATTCTCCATTTTCAGACCTTCTGTAATTCTGTACATTCTCTACACTTTTAAGTCAGAAAGTCATTAAGCTTGAAAGCACAACAGGTGCATTACCTTTATTCTCTACCAACCCCAATATCTACCATTTTATGTTGCCATAAGATCATTTGTTTAAAGGAGTGGGAATATATATATTTCATACAAATATTATATAATAATAGTGTTTAGATGCTAGAGGTTGACAAATATTGTTCTGAAAGTCAGCTCTGTTATTAGATGGATGCTCCTAACAAGTTAGTTAACTTCTTAACCTTTAGTCTCTTCAACTGTAAAATGGGGATAAATAATAGTAGCTAACTCATAGGTTACTGTAAGAATTAAATGAGATATTACTTATAAAATGCTTAGCATTTAGCATAGAGTCTGGCAAATAATAATGTCCAGAAGTGTTAGCTATTAAATTAATATTAAAACTATCATTTTATAAGTCTGCTTTAATAATTATAATACTAGAGGCTTATGTTTTAACTTCCTTCTGCCAATGAAATAGCCCAACATCTGACAGACCTTGCTCTCCAGGAAAGAATGAGAAAAAGTGCAAATAAAGTGAGCATAGAAAATAAAAATGTGAATTCTGTACCTTTTTTCAGGAATGTCACTCCCAGAAGAAATTTTATCACGTGCTTTGTAAGAATACATCTTATGCAAGCTGGGCTGCTTTTAAACATATAAAGGTCCATTCAAAAAAAAAAAGAGAGAAGTTTCAAAAAACTTTTAAAAATGAAGAAAATAAGATACAAAATATTACAATAATTTTTCCTTTTACTAACCAACTCATCAAATAAATCATCTGAAAATAAGCTCATGAATTATCAACTTCTAGGGCTCTAAAGGCGGTTAGAAATGCAATGTAATATCCCATTCCTCCCAAATCTATAGAGAATATATGATCAAAACAATTCTTAGAGACATAGCAAGAGCCAAAGTCATAAAAATGATTCAATTACATTGTGTATACTTTAATAAAGCAGAAAAAGTTCACCAGAAAATTTAATTCAGCACATTTGTCCATCACCCCATCACCCTAGTATCCTCATTAGTGGAAGTCAGCCTGTGGATAAGTATTTAATCTGTAATTACCTAAGATCCAAAACAAAGCAAGAAAAGGTGTGTATGTGTATGTGTCTACGTAATTGTAATGAGAACATTTAGGAATCAGGCTTATTTTTCCATCAACTAAAAGTATTATAATATCCAAAAAAAGATATTATAAAAAGTGTTATAATATCCAAGCCAAATGAGTTATAAAATAGGCTTAAAAGAAAAAAAATAAACATTACTTTCTCAGATACTTCTGTTCTATTAACCCCAGAAATCATATATTGCATATTTTATTCTGTTCATATCATTTCTCTTTCCACATTTTATATCTTGTTATATATGGCATTTTCCTCTTTGAGTGGAAATAAAACAGAAAAATTTTAAACAGGAGTTGCATCAATAAAGAATGAAATAATAAGAACCATCTCTTTAATAAAAACAAACCTCTGAAGATAATTCAATTGGTACTTGATTAGAGGAATGTTGCTCAGTGCCAGAAGATACAGCTTTAGAACTGAAAAATAATAAAATTAAATTATCTCAAATGTTAAAATGTTGTTTTCTAATACATGAATCATCACACCTCCACTCTTAGAAAGGCAGATAAGGTTATATTACTCTTTTAGAACTGATGCTTTTTTAAATTGAATTTTCCCCTCCAAAGAGCTTAAGCTCTTCAAAGTCTAGATTTAAAACTCTTTAAAGTTTTTTAAGTTTAAAAGTAAAACTGATAATCTAAAGTACAACATAATGGTTATAGTCAATAATATTGTATTATAAACTTCAAAGTTGCTCAGAGACTAGATCTTAATTGTTCTCTACACAAAAAAGAAGTGCTATTCAAGTGATGTGATGAAAGTGTTATCTAACGCTATTGCCATAATCACAATGCAATATATAAATGTATCAAACCAACAGTTGTACACTTCAAACTTACACAATGTTAAATGTCAATTATATTTCAATTTAAAAAAAATTGAAAAATGATCAATAACACGTAAAGGTACTAAAAACTAGACAACACGTGTATTCCCTTCCTGTCCTCTATACATAAGGAAATGTGGTATATAGATTCTTCAACATTTACCTCAATGCTGCTTCTTTATTTTATTTATTTATTTTAATTGAAGCATAGTCGATTTACAATATTGTATTAGTTTCAGGTGTACAGCAAAGTTACTTGGTTATACATATATGTATGTATGTATCTATATTCTTTTTTTTCCTGATTCTTTTCCAGTATAGTTTATTACAAGATACTGAATATAGTTCCCTGTGCTATACACTTCTTTAATCAACAGGAGCAGCTTTCTAAATAGTCATCTACTTCCTGTTCACCAAGACAGTGTTCTATGATTTATCATTCTCCCTACTGACTCCCACACCAAATTGACTAAAAGAGGTACGCAAAAATGATTATCTTTACTCATTTTACTTTGTGTGGTACCTGTAAATTGGTACAAAATGAATCATTTAAATAACAGAAAACCCAGAAGTTATAAAAAAAACTGAAAAATGAACCTTGGTAGAAAAAACTCCCTTGGACACAATTCTTCATTAGCTTGAAGGATAAGGCTCTGAGGAGATTCTGTTTTGGCTTTAGCAAGCCAATTTCTACCCTATTGAACACAAGAAGAACCTTTTAATGCACAGTGAGAAAATTCAATCAAACAGGCAGACTTCTACATTGTTTACCTTTTCTGTAAGGGTGCAAATCTTTACAAATTTGCTTTGCCCAGGAACTTCTACCAAGAATCCCTCAGTTATGAGCTGACGGGAAAAAACCTTCCACCAATTCTCTGTGTGATCCTTGCCAGTGCCAAAGAAACTGTGACTGCGATATTTATCTTCAAGACGCTGGGAATTCTGAAATTAGGCATAAAATCAATTTCTTAAAATGTTTATTTAATTAAACAGGAGATGTAAAACACGAAACCGTCTATTGATTCTTTGGCTTTAACACTAAATTTCAGCTTTAAAAACCTACGGAATTCTTATACCCCTCCTGCTTGCTCTGATTACTTAAGCCACAAATAAACACACTCAAAATAGTGTTCCTTTTCTGTTTTAAACAACGGCAGGAAATTTCATATATAAATCACATGCATTTCCCAATGCATAGGTTTGGATATATTTGGAATATCTAACCTTTGCTATTTAGAACTTTTATTAACATACTCACATTATTGTTTGAAAACCGTGATCATACATCTACAGCTCAAGACTTGAAGCATGGGTGTTAAAGGCAGTGTGACCCATAGCTGGTAATCAGTGAGTGCAGTGCCAATACTCAGGTTTCCACTGTGTTGTTGTCATTACTGTGCTTTTTGTCCGTGATGTTTCAGCAAAGTTTACTTAATCATTTCTGATTTAGCTGCTTCACTGAGATACATCAGAAAAACCAGGTGCATGCTAGACAGTTGACGCTTTTGAGATATTTTTCCCTAAGTGACCAGAGGATTCCGATCGGAGACTCTTCATAGCCATCAAGGTCTAGAAATATTGGGGAAGCTAGCCCATCATATGCAATTCTCTTGTCCTCTAATGGAAATGACTCTCCCCACCTTCACTCTCCACAGAGAACTTTTTCTATTCACTTTGCCCTCTGATTACCCCTTTTTAAAAAAAATTTATTTATTTATTTATTTATTTATGGATGCATTGGGTCTTCGTTGCTGCCCACAGGCTTTCACTAGTTGCGGTGAGCGGGGGCTGCTCTTCGTTGCGGGCTTCTCATTGCAGTGGCTTATCTTGTTGCCGAGCACAGGCCCTAGGTGGCTTCTCTTGTTGCGGAGCACAGGCTCTAGGCACACGGGCTTCAGTAGCTGTGGCACGCGGGCTCAGCAGTTGTGGCTCGTGGTCTCTAGAGCGTAGACTCGGTAGTTGTGGAGCATGGGCTTAGCTGCTCTGCGGCATGTAGGATCTTCCCAGACCAGGGCTCGAACCCATGTCCCCTGCACTGGCAGGCAGATTCTTAACCACTGTGTCACCAGGGAAGTCCCTGATTACCTCCTTCATCCATCCTACACATCTAAATACTACTCCTGCACTGGGGCAGATTCTTAACCACTGTGTCACCAGGGAAGTCCCTGATTACCTCCTTCATCCATCCTACACATCTAAATACTACTTTTAAATGTGTATGGTACTATATGAACATAGGGCTCTCTGGAGAATTGCTTCTATCTAATGTATTTGCGGTGAATACAGCAGATTGTAATTCGAGGGTCATTCTGCCCTTCCTCCACTGTGACTTGTACCACAGAATCTGGGAAGTTACAAACACTATTTCTCAAACTTTCTTTCAACTAGACTTCTGGATGTGATTTGAGTTCCACTAAACAAAGGTATTTTTGCATGACATCTACACGCAGGAAGTGAGGCAAAGGGGTCTACTTTGCTATATTTGCAGGTATGCATGACTGTGGAGGGGTTTGCTTTTTATGAGAAAGTGTTAGCAAAGAACCTAGCATACAGCTTCTAGCTTCCTAAGTAACAGGAGACATTCATTTTGTTGATACAGATTATAGAAGGCAGCTCCCAGATCAAGCAGAAGTAGAACCTTCCTGATTGTTACAGCTCCCTTTTCAGCACAGTCTGGGGTCAGGCACTGACAGATAACTTCTTAACCACAGAAGAGGCAACTGCTTCCATGGCAGGTTATTTTGCAGTATAATCTTATCAACAATACTCTAAGCCACTTAACACCCAGTAATAAATACCTTTCTGTTTAAATTCGCTAGACTGATCATGAGCTTCATAACAAATACTGTATTTTAGGTTATATTCATGTTTCAAAAACATTCACTCCTTTAGTATGTCAAGAAGTTCCTGTAGTCTAAAATTTTCAATATGAAATGCAATCTAAAATTTGAGAAATAGGCACATCCTGTCACTCAACATTTTTATATTTCATCTATACTCTAATGATGGTTTAACAATCAGTGCATATTCAAATCCAGGGATCAAAATGAAAAGCATATACAGAATGAGTTCCAGCAGACATAACTCAAGCACTATAAGCCTCACTATATTACAAATGTATTGGTTTTGTTCAACTGATGAAAACGTTACGGTTACAAGTTTATCATTTTGGAATGTTAAAAATGTGAATACAAGTGAAATAACCTAAAAAGACTGATCCCTCACATAAAGAAATCTAGGCTGAAATTAGATTAGATTAGGAAAGTTCCCATCAGAGACACATCAGTGCCTAGATACACTGAGCTTTTTTAAAACACAGGCTTCTTATAGGTTTAGTTAACAGGGTCTGTAACATGCATTCTAAAAATAAAAATTGAAATTGAGTTTTGTATTAAAATAGCTAAGTAATAAAGGTTTAGTATCATGGTGATTATATTTACAAAAATTGTACTAGAACAAGATTCAGAGAAACAGAAACACCCACGTACAACGTGGCACCTTTTTCCACAACAACCTCTACTACCTATACTAACTGACTTTGGTTTGATTTGTGTAGAATGTTTAAAATCAAGCATCACAGAATTTCAGATCTGGAAGGAACACTGGAGCTCACTGATCTATCTAGTCATTTTTACTCAGATACAAACAATCAGAGGCTCAAAGATGTTAAGTGGTAGCCTAAGGTCATAGAGGTAAGACTAGGACACAGTCCTCCAGACCACTACACCAGGGATATATATACACACAGACACACAGACACCAATATACACACATATACATATATACTGATTGTAGTTAGTGCAGCTAGACCACCTGGGTTCAATTCACAGCTCCAGTACTTACTAGCTTTTGGATTTTGGGCAAGTCAGTTACTTAACTTACCTGTGTTTCTATTTCCTCAGCTGCTATACAAGTATAATAATACTTCCTATCTCTTGGGGATGTTATGAAGATTGAGTAACCAGGACAGGACAGAGCCTGGCTCAATAATATTAACTTTATTTTTTACGAGTTAACAGCTGATCCTTTAACTTAGCCTGCCTTCCTTAACATAAAAGCAAAAGCCCTGACTCAGTATTGAGTCAGTTTTCCCAGAACATTTGTAATGGCATTCTACACCTGCTGGGGGCTTACCTTTATAGTAGGAGAATCTATTGCTTACAAACTAATAACACCAAAGATATTAAGTTGCCTAACTAGTACTTATTAGCAATCTGGACACTAAAAATTATTCCTCTAGCCTTCCCTTTCGTAAGCAGAAAACAACCTGAAGTGAATGAACACATTTGCTGATATGAAGAAATGAGATGTTCTTCTAATCGGTAGGGGTAACTGTCCCTTCCCCTCATGATCAATAATCATTGTGAATACTGTGTACTGTGTGAATAAATTTACACTGTCATGTTTCCATGGCAATCACCATACACAAAACGAAATACTTCTGCTCTTCGACACAGATCATTTTGTTTTAAAGATATTCCCTTTTCAACGAGAAATCCAAATTTAACCAAGTAACATTTCTGAAAAAACAGAATAAGGATTTTCAACAACAAATGTCTAAAAAAAAAAAAAACCCACAAATGTCTAACAATTTCTTACTCTGAGCAAGGCATCTTCCATTAATTACTTATATGTTCTAGTTAACTTAATTTTCCAGGTTAACCCACTGACGAAGTAAAACTGCTAAGGATGAGAAAGCTGCCATAGCGGATATAGGGATTTGGGCACTGATTTTAATGAGTGCACAATTATACATGCACATAGCCCTTACCAATCATAAATCTTCATTCTAGTATCTCTAGATCATTCAACCTAAAAACACAAATTTAAAATTGCATGTGAACAGCATAATAAAACAGACACAGCACTAGAACATTAGTTAGGAAAGCTGTCGCTTGTCCTGCTTCTGGCACAAAGTAATGACCTGACATGACACAGGTCATTTAACTTTCTGGGACTTAGTATTAACCGCTGTATAATAAGGTGGTAGAGTTAAATAATCTTTTTGCTCTAAGAGTCTCTACTTCTATGGGACAAAGTCTCAAAAATGGAAATTATCAACCCATTCTTCTCCTTTAAAAAGCAGGCTGGAAAAATTAGGGTACCAAACGGATGCATCAGGGAGTTTGGAAACCTATGAACAGATCGATGTGTGTTAGAATAAAGGGAGCCGACTGGCCAGAGCACAAGTCCCAAAGGATCACTTTCTAATAAAAGCCAAATCTTCGCACCATTATCTGATAGAGAAAACAAACAAACTTGCCACTTCTCTAAATTAACTTCTTTAAAAATCACGATTGCTTGTTGTGGTAGTTCTTTCAGCTGGGAATGCCACACTCCTCTCCACCTTCTTCCCTTGGGTTGGCTCTCAATGCCCAAATCTACTCTCATCATCCACAGAACAGAAAGTGCCAGTGATACCATAACAAAGACTTCTCTAGTTTCACAGCCATTAACAAGCACTCTCTCTTCAGAACTTAAATAATACTTTATATCTATTCATATGTCCCCGATCTCTTTTTATGCTGCAATATACTTATTTATTCTCAAGTAACACCTTCCATACTAGATGATGTCTCATCTAATTCCACTTTGAATTCCCCACAAAACAGAGTACAGTAGCTCACACAAAAATAGATGTTTTGGAAATTCCCTGGCGGTCCAGTGGTCAGGAGTCCATGCTTCCACTGCAGGGGGCACGGGTTTGATCCCTGGTTGGGGAACTAAGATCCCGCATGCCATGCAGCGTGGCCAAAAAAAAAAAAAAAAAAAAAAGTTTAATAACTAGCAGAAAAAAGTAGTTATAAACTCTTAAAAAGTTTTAGATTCCTGTGTTCTTAAAGTACAAAATAAGTCCATAGTTTCTGTCTATATTTTAACTAATTTTTTTTTTTCTTTTGCCTCTTTCCCAGTTCCTACAGGCCAAGGAATTTCACAGCTGCCGCTTCAGGGCTTAAAAAGGGCATTTCTGGGACTGTTATTCTATGTGAACAATAAAGCCAAAATATAAAGTTACAATAATTATCTCTAGGAATATATTTCAACCTGATGAAATAGCTTGCCTGAAAAATTAAACGGATAACCCTCTCCTGTTAGAAAGTTTGAAAATTATAAAGGGTAATTAAAACTAACAATAGTCTCCCAACGGCTGCCTATAGTCAAAGCATCTTTTATTAAAAGTGTTCTCTAATTCTGGAGCCATGATAAGGTTTAGCACTTTGATAACATGATCAGGAAAGAGGTTTCACTTAATCTCCTGATTATGCAAATTAATGACTGTGTCTGTTTTCTAATCTGTAAAATTAAGATAACTGCGTATCTTAATACTTAATTCACAAAGATGTTTAAAGATTTTTATGTGGGGCTTCCCTGGTGGCACAGTGGTTGAGAGTTGGCCTGCCAATGCAGGGGACACAAGTTCGTGCCCCGGTCCAGGAAGATCCCACATGCCGTGGAGCAGCTGGGCCCATGAGCCATGGCCGCTGAGCCTGTGCGTCCGGAGCCTGTGCTCCGCAACGGGAGAGGCCACAACAGTGAGAGGCCCACGTACCGCAAAAAAATAAAAAAATATTTTTATGTGGTGAGCTATTTAGACCCTTAAAACAAAGTTCCTTAGGCAATATTTCTACTATTTAATTTCCAACAAAACTTATGCTTTAAAAACAAAATTTTAAACTCCATTCACAAACACCTGAATAATCATTTATACTATTTTTTTTTTTTGCTTACGCGGGCCTCTCACTGTTGTGGCCTCTCCCGTTGCGGAGCACAGGCTCCGGATGCGCAGGCTCCGCAGCATGTGGGATGTTCCCAGACCGGGGCACGGACCCGTGTCCCCTGCATCGGCAGGTGGACTCTCAACCACTGCGCCACCAGGGAAGCCCTATACTCTTTTTTTATACTATTTTTAAACATCCTATGTAAGAGAGGAGAATCATGTGCTGCTGAAATATTTGTTTCATATGTACAAATATTATCTCTTTAAATAAACTCCAAGAGTTTCAAGTTTAAGATACTTAATCATCTTACAAATGAAAATTATCTGTAAAGATATTAATTTTTCCTAAATTAGTTAATGTAGACGATTCAGTAATTCTCAAAGGAAATACAATTATAATTTAAAAAATGATATCCCAGTAGATACCAAGATCACTGAAATTGGGGGGAAAAACTTGCCTTATTTTCACTGTAGTTAATGTCTACAAATTTTCGGTAAGTGGTACTTTTTTAAAAAGTTTTACACCTTTATCTAGCAAGGGTAATATAAAATTTCACAAAGAATAAACTTCTTAATTTGCAGACTCCCAGAAGAGACTGTTGGTATAAGCGGTCTGACTTGGTTTTCAAATAATAGGTGAAATCTGATCCGTCTTGTGACCAGTTCAAGTTTGTCTAGGAGCCCACTTCCACTTATCTATTGATACTGGATACTGCTGGATTACACCAATTAAAACAAGGATAATTTTTATAAATTATACATTCAGCTGGGATACACAGGTTTTAAAGATGACAGAGACAAGAAATTTTCATAGATCTCAATTACATTAAATCTATCCCTTGCAACTTTAATTCTTTTAAAAAAAATATAGCAGCACTCATATCAGCTAAATCAAGTTCCTTAGGCAACACTTCTACCATTAAATTTCTAACCAAACTTGAGATTTAAGAACAAAATTTTAAACTCCATAATCTAAAAACATCAGTACCTGAAGTTAACATATTTTTAGCATTTCATTAAAAGTATTTCACAACTGGCTAACTTAATAAGTCCCTTTCGAAACAAAACAAAAACTCAGAAAGTAAATATTTACACAAAGTATTTGAGAATTTAAGAAATGAATGCTGACCTAAATTATTTTTAAAATTCTACATACAGGGCTTCCTTGGTGGCGCAGTGGTTAAGAATCCGCCTGCCAATGCAGGGGACACGGGACCAAGTCCTGGTCCGGGAGGATCCCACATTAGTTGCTGTGGAGCAACTAAGCCTCTGAGCCACAACTGCTGAGCCTGTATCTAGAGCCCGCGAGCCACAACTACTGAAGCCAGGGCACCTGAAGCCCATGCTCTGCAACAAGAGAAGCCACCGCAATGAGAAGCCCGTGCACCGCAACAAAGAGTAGCCCCCGCTCACCGCAACTAGAGAAAAGCCCACACACAGCAACAAAGACCCAACACAGCCAAAAATAAATAAGTAAAATAGATAAAGAAAGAAAGAAAACAAAACTTAAAAACAAAATTCTACAAAGTGAGAATTTTAATCTCCACTTTTAGTATATTTTTAATAAATATACGTAGTTGCAAAGGATTCTATCTCCCATTTTTGGTTTATTCAACTAACGTCAATATATAATACTTAATTTTACAGACTTCTAAATCAGGAATAAAATCATATAAACAAAAGAACTATAGAAAAAAGTTCTTTGGCTATAAGGGTCACGACCTACTCACATTTGTACCTGCAATTGTTAGCATAATGCTGGCACACTAATTACTCAAAAAAAAAAAAAAGTAGCAGAATTAACTATTCATTGGTGAAGAAAAAAAACTTTCTTAGAATTTTAAATACTTCTGATTAGAAATAAAATAGAAGGAAAGAAAATATATACTTACCAAATATTATTATTGAACTTAGACATTTACAAATAATCACTGAAATTTAAATTTTGCTCAAAAAATTTACTACTTCACAGGGCACCAAAAGATACAAATTTGTTCTACATGTCCCTTGACACAATGAAAGTAAACTTTTCTTAATTATCCTATAAAAGACCAGTCTAGGGATTCATCCAACTGCAATGTAATAAACTGAAACAGACAGCCTGGAAGCATTGTCTTAATGATACACAGAGGTTTTGTCAAAGGTAATGAATGCAGTGCTTAAATGGAACTTAATATGACTCTCTGAGTTCTGATAACTAAAGCCAAAGCTATAATTGTAAAACAGCAAACCTCTGAAGAAAAGTGTAATAGGAGTAAAAGAAGAACTCTGAAGGTGCCTCACAGACATACTTACAGATCCTCGGAGAAATAAAATTGGAACCCCAATTCCAAACTTTTCGCCTAAGATGGTCACGGCAGATAAGAGCTGGAATGCTTGTGGACCAAAGTCCTGTGACATATCATCTGAGTCATCAATGGAAAAGCAGCGATCCAATCTAAATAAAAACAATATGTAAAGAAAGCTTAGCCAAGGCATGTACCTTTAGAAATAAAAAGATTTAGTGTAACAGTTAGCCCAGTAAAAAAAATCTCAAATGTGCCAACTGCTTCAGAAGCTAAAAATAAAGTTCAATACAGCTGAGAGCATGTAAAGTATGTAAAACATGAAATATAAACTATAATATAGCATCACAGGTATGTTATATTAATGGTTCTTGACGCTAGTGCCCTAGGATCCAAGTTTCACAGGAGGTACCTTGGGCCATAGAGAGAAACAGGTTCAAGCAAGCAGAACGCAGGATTACAGCTCAAACAGCTCCACTTGATCGACTGTATAAATACTGGACTTTTGTGTTAGGTTTTGATGGAAGAAAAGGTTTAGTGCCCACCCCCACCCCTGCCGCAAAACTTCTGAACTGAAAAAACACATCTCCTATGCAAGAAGTTGTTAAAGTCATACTTTAAAATATGACCAAAGATTATAAGCTTTTCATGTAAGTCCATTTAGAAGTTAAATTCCTAAGCCATCCTTCAGGTATAAATTATCATTAACACAAATTAATGAAATTCTCATTTGTATTAATTCTCATTAATACAAATGAGAATTCTTTATGGCATGTTGAGAACAAAAGGACTCAGAGAAAATCAACTAATATAGTTCAACTACCTAATTCAGTTGCTTTCTTTATAATAAATATCTTTGAAATAGCAATAAGAATATAGTCAGTATTCTAGGTATATTTTTAGGGGAAAAAAAGGCTATGTTTAGTTTTATTCTCTATTTTAACTTCTTTAATAGGATACTTAGTTTATTAATTTTCTTTTCTAATACGAGTATTTAAAGCTATCAAATTCCCACTAAGTATCACCTATGCTGCAGCATACAAGTTTTAATGTATATTGCTGTAATTATCACTAAGTTCTAAAAATGTTTTAATTTCCAGTTTTTTTCCTTGATTGACGAGTTACTTTACAGCATTATTTTAAATTTCCAAATGAATGAGAATTTCCCTTTTTATTCTCTTGTTTACTTCTAATTCTGTTGCATTCTGGTCAGAAAATGTGGTGTGTTTGAAACCAATACACTGAAAACTTGAGACAGGTTACAGTCTAGTACAGAGGTCAGAAAACTCTTCCTATAAAGGGCCAGACAGTAAATAGCTTAGGCTTTGTGGGCCAGACAATCTCTGTGTCACAACTACTTAGCTCAATTCTGCAAAAACAGCCATATATAATATATAAACAAAAGGGCATGGCTGTATTACAAAAAAACTTTATTTACAAAAACAGGCAGTGAGTGGATTTGGTCCATAGGTCATAGTTTGCCACCCACTGCTTTAATATATAGTACATTTTAAAAATTTTATTTATTTTTGGCTGTGTTGGGTCTTCATTGCTGTGCACGGGCTTTCTCTAGTTGTGGCGAGCAGGGGCTACTCTTCGTTGCGGTGCGCAGGCTTCTCATTGTGGTGGCTTCTCTTGTTATGGAGCACGGGCTCTAGGCGCACGGGCTTCAGTAGATGTGGCTCACGGGCTCAGTAGTGGTAGCTCACGGGGTCTTGAGCACAGGCTCAATAGTTGTGGCGCACGGGCTTAGTTGCTCTGTGGCATGTGGGATCTTCCCGGACCAGGGCTCGAACCCATGTCCCCTGCACTGGCAGGAGGATTCTTAACCACTGCGCCACGAGGGAAGTCCCTATAGTTCATTTTTATAAATATGCCATCTATGTTTGAGAAGTGTAGTCTCTAATTCAGTGCTTCCCAGCCCGTGTGCTACAAATGGATTATAGGTGTGCTGAAGGTTAATCCCTTGAGACCTTAGGGTTCTGAACAGAACCTAGACTCAATTAGCCATTAACTATGTGGGTCACGAAGTAAAAATGTTTGAGACACATTACTCTAATTGCTTGGTAAAGGCTTCTACATACTGCATGTCCAATAAATCAGACTTGTTACCATACTGACCAGATTTTCTATTGCTTCCTAATTTTTTGATTGCTTAACCTACCAATAACTAAAAATTATATCAACCTCTCCTACTTTGATGGTGGAATTGTTGATTTCTTCCAGCTTTTCTGTCAGTCTGTGCTTTACATAGTTGTAGGGTTTTTTTTAAGGAGCATAGAACAATTCTGTCCTCTTGGTGGAGGAGCCATTTATCACTGCACAGAGACCATCTCCATCCCTAATAAAACTCCTTTTGTCTAACAGTAATACAGCTACCACACCTAGTATATGGTTAGCTCAACTACATACACCATTTGTATTTTATTTTTTCAATTAATATACAGTTAAATTGATTGTATGTCTGTGTGTGTGTGTTAAGGTCTACAAATTTAAACACATTCATAGATTCTTCTAACCATCACCACAATCAGAACATGCAAAAAATCCATTACTGCAAAATACTCCCTTGTGCTATTCCTTTGTAATCATAACCTTGACCCCATCCCTCTAATCTCTGGCAACCACTAATCTTTTCTTCATCTCTACAGTGCAGTTTTATGTTTGAGAGAATATCACATAAATAGTAGAACTGGCATTATTTCTTCTTTTTGGGGGGTAGAATTTGCCACTGAAATCATCTGGGCTAGGGAATTTTATTTTCGGAAGTTTTTAACAAGGACCCAATTTCTTCAACAGTGGTAGGATTATTCAGGTTATGTACTTCATTGTGAGTGAGGGGTTTTTTGTTGTTTTTTTTTTGTGTGTGTGAGTTTTATTAGTCTGAGGTTTTCAAGGAATTGGTCCATTTCACCTAAATTACTGAATGTATGTGCACTGAGTTATTCATAGTATTTCCTCATTATCCTTTTAATGTCTGTTGTGGCTAGAGTGAAATTCCCTCCCTCAGTCCGGATATTGGTAATCTGCACCTCCTCTTCTTTTTTTATTTTCTTTTTCGAACTTTCTATCAGTTTTATTGACCTTTTCAAAGAATGAGCTTTTGAGTTCACTGGTTTTCTCTAATTGTTTTTGTTTTCTATTGATTTATGCTCTTATCTTTATTCTTTCCTTCCTTCTGCTTCCTTTTAGTTTTCTTTACCCCTATTTGCTAGTTTAAGGTGGAAGCTTAATTACTAATTTGAAACCCTTCTTCTACTGTGTATTTAATGCTCTAATCTTCCCTGTCAGTATCACTTTAGCTGTACCCCATACATTTTGTATTTTCATTTCACTCAGTTCAAAGTATTTTCTGATTTACCTTGAGACTTCCTCTTTGACTAATGGATTATTTAGTAGTGTGTTACTTAATTTCCAAGTGTTTGGAGACTTTCCTGTTATCTTTCTGCTGTTGATTTCTAGTTTCATTCCATTTTAGTTAGAAAATGTATTCTGTATAAATACAAATCTTTTAAATGTGTTAAGGTTTGTTTTATGATCCAGAATACAGTATATTTTCATGAACATTCCATCTGCACCTGAAAAGAACGTGTATCTGCTGTTGGAATGTTTGAAAGTCAGGTGGAATGTTCTATGAAAGTCAATTAGGCAGTCTGCTGACAGTCCTGTTCCACTTCTTCTATTTTCTTACTGATTTTCTGTCTACCAGCTCTATTAATTACTGAGAGATGCTGGAGTCACCAACTCTACTTACGGATTTCTCTATTTCTCCTTTCAATTCTGTCAGCTCTTTTTAAAGTATATACACATTTAGGATTAGGTGTTCTTGGATATAATGGTTATCTTTGTGTGTCAGCTTGGCTAGGCTATGGTACCCAGTCATTTGGTCAAACACTAACCTAGATGTTGCAATAAAGGTATTTTGTAGATGGGATTAACATTTACAATCAGTTGACTTTAGGTAAAGGAGCTGACCCTTGATAATGTGAGTAGGTCTCATCCAATCAGATGAAGGCCTTAAAAAGCAAAGACTGAGGTTGGCTGGAGAACAAGGAATTGTGACTCAAAACTGTAATGTAGAAATCCTGCCCAACTTTCCAGCCTGCTAGGCTGCCTACATATTTCAGGCTTGCCAACCCCTACAACTGCATGAGCCAATACCTTAAAATTAACCTCTCTCTCCCTCTCTCATTATCTCTCTCTCTGTGTGTGTGTGTGTGTGTGTGTGTGTGTGCGCGTGTGTGTGTGTACACATATGTGCATGTATTGTTCTGGAGAACCCTGACTGATACATTGGTAAACTGACTCTTTTATCATCATGTAATGTCCTTCTTTATCCCTGCTAATATTCTTCCTCCAAAGTCTCCATTATCTGACATTAAAAGTAACAACTCCAGCTTTCTTTTGATTAATGTTTTCATGGTATACAGTTTGTATCTTTTTATTTTTAATCTACCTATATAATTATACCTATAGTGGATTTCTTGTGGACAGCATTTGGTTGGGTCATATTTTTAATCCAATTCTAACAATTTTTGCCTTTAAATGGTATTTTTCTTTTTTGCGGTACACGGGCCTCTCACTGTTGTGGCCTCTCCCGTTGCGGAGCACAGGCTCCAGACGCACAGGCTCAGCAGCCATGGCTCACTGGTCCAGCCGCTCCGCGGCATGTGGGATCTTCCCAGACCGGGGCACGAACCCGTCCAGACGCACAGGCTCAGCAGCCATGGCTCACTGGTCCAGCCGCTCCGCGGCATGTGGGATCTTCCCGGACCGGGGCACGAACCTGTGTCCCCTGCGTCGGCAGGGTCCTCAACCACTGCACCACCAGGGAAGCCCTAAATGGTTTTTTTAGATCATTTACATTTAATATAACTATTGATATGTTTAGATTTAGGTCTACCATTAATTGGTTTATCTATTTTTAAAAGTAAAAGATTGTAATACTGTTTGCTTTGTCCTCTTTTTTAATAAATAAATTCATAATTTTGTTTTTAAAAAACTGCAATACATATCACTCAACAAAAATTCAATTAAAAATTATTTGCAAAGGAAGAGAAACAAAGACTTTTAGAATGTCCATCTAGAAGAAGAAAACGTTACCTGGACCTGCAATTATCACAGCAATTTTCAGTTCCCATAATTCCCACGGAGGCCTTTCGTAGCTGTTTGTCTTCAAAATGAGACAAGATGAGTCTACCCAAGAGAAAATTTTAAATTAAATAAAAGAACAAAAACATATATGTTAAATTCATTGTTGACAATAATGAGGTGAAATCAACATTAACTGATTCAGCTGAGACCTAATTATTTGGCTTCAGTTTACTGAGGCCCAAAGCAAGTTGCCTTTAAAATTCAGCACATATGTTAACACCACCAAATATCTTTTAAATACTTCTAATTACTTTGCAAAACTTTTTCCTTAAGAGTATTATCTATAAATCCTTGTTATTAACTGATATAAAGTAAATAATACTTACTGTCGCCTACACCTTCTGGAATGAAGATATTTTTCCATCTTTGCCATCATCTTTAATTTGTATAATCGAAACTTTTCATTGCATATTTCACTAAGGAGGTGCCTGTCAATTAAAAATACCACAGTACTATTAAAATTGTATTAGCCGTTTTATTTCATTTATTTATTCCTGTTTATTTTTCATAGTCTATAACATCCACAGTGCTAACAAGATAAAGAACATTTCTATCATCTCAGCAAGTTATTGCGTCCCTTCCCAGTCAATGCCCCCATAAGAGGCAAGCATTTTTCTGATTTCTATGAAAATTACTTTTGAAAGAATTCTACCCATGTCCAAGCATCAATTTTTTAGCTGCCTATGAAAAACTGTTAAAACCCTAAAGTTCTTCATTTTGACTTATATGCTACTTGCTTTTTGGGCAATCTTTCTACGATACGTGAATTTTTACCTTTTCCCAGTAAAAGGTTATTCTTTTAAGTTATTTTATATGAGAAACTAAAGGCATCTAATCTATATAAGGAATACTGAAAAAGACTCGATCTAAATATAAACCTTCATCACTTTAGCTCTTCAGAGAACTTCTCAGCCCTCTAAAAACCTCTTTGTATTATGGGGTATTACAGGACACCAATAAAATATCAGAATTAAGTTCCTTCCTCAAAGAATTCTAACCATTTTTCCCCCATAATACTGAATTTATATAAACTTTTTAAATAACACTAAAGACATGGTTTTTTTTTTAAGTTAATGCTGCTATACCTCATCCTGACTCTGTTAATTCTACTCTCCTGTGAAGAAATTCCATGACTATCGTATATCAGATGATGACAATCTTCCAAACAGTCTTTGCATGTCTTTCCGAGAATAAAGAAAAATCTGAGTTGAATAGGTTTCAAATATTTCAAAAGAAAATAATTTATCCACAAGATCTAAGTGATAATACTGATCTTCATCACTCATGTTTTGACTATACAGCCTTCTAACTGATAAAAATACCTCTGTACAATTCTCAAGGATGACACCAACAGGGAATCCAGTTAAGTGAGTTCTGGAAAGTCTGGACACACAAATGATCTCTTATTCAAAAACATTCTTATCATTTGACACCACCAACCACCATGCCTTTCCATGTAATTTCCCTAAAAAGTCTCTTCCAACGATTGACTCTAGTTCCTAGGTCAACCATCTAACCTCATTATTCCTAGCTCATGGGCTAAATATTAGTTCCCTTTTTTGCTCTGTTTTGTTTGTTTAGCTCACCTCTTTCTCCTCAGATAGAAAGAACAAAGGAAACAATGCCCACACTCTGAGAGCTAGATCTTCCCTTATGTTTGGTTCCCATGATCTACATTTAACTAATCTCATCAGTTTCAGTAACAAATTGAAGAAAATAAAGTAACAAGTCTCTAACAACAAATCAAATGGATATTTATTCTTCTTTTAGGACCATCAAAATAGTTAAAGTATAATATTCCACAGAATAAAAACAAGCTGAAAAAGAAGAAATATTCTAAAAACAATACCATAAATAGAAATCAGGTGGAGCCAGTGGAAGATTTGTTAAACTGAGATTAATTTGCAAATTATTCCCTTTAAACAAAGATTACAGTAACTATTGGGTTTGACTGTTTTAAATAATGGCAGGTGCAGACATTGAGACTTTGCCAATAAAAAATATAAAATTGCATATTTACACTGATGATTGGACAAGTTTCTTCTCTCAGTCATAGGATTCTAGCATAAGACAGACTAAAAATTTTGTGAATTACAGTGATCTTTTCATTTGAAAACCAGCTATTCCATTTATTCTAAAACTTTGTTTTTTCTAATAGAAGAGGTTTGTCACAAGGATGGCAGAGATCTGGGACTCAATCCTTGCTGAAATTTTTTTTAAATGCTGATTAACCCTATAGTTTTATTTCCTTTAATATGGATGCAAAGAACAACCTGTCTGTACTAAAGATTCAAGAGTGGATTTCCTGGCACCACTACTTGATTACTAACCACTGTTACTCCCTGTTAAATCTTAATGAGATAACCATTTAAAATACCTTTTGAGACTCAGATACACAGGAACGATATCTATTGATGAACCTGCCAAGCCACAATATAAAACTTGGGCTGTTAAGTCTTCAGCATCTTTAACACAATGCACAAATAAAATCAGAACTGGTAGGAATCAACTTATGTTTGATGCAATCCCAAATTTAATTGTAGCATGCAGAGCTGTGTTCTATCCCAATTATTTAAAATTAGTTTATAAAAGGCTTCACATAGACACCAGTGTCAAAAGGAAAATAATAATTGTTCTGTTTAAGAAGATGGTTTATTGACTGTATGTTAAGAAACAAAAGTTAGTGACTACTCCTAAAAGAAGCTTAAAATTTATAGCAAACATTCTTACCTAATTAATCCCTATTCTTCTTTCATATCTCAAGTTAACCCATTACTTCCTCAAGGAAGCCTTATCTAACCTTTATAACTTGGTAAACACGCACCCATAATATACTCACTACTCGATGCAATTTCCTTCATAGCACTTAACACAGATTTAATTTTATACAAATTTACATGATCCTTTTCAAAAAAACGTTTAGTTATTCAAATTTTCAAACACAAAAGAGCAGTAAAATGAACCCTATGTATCCACGGTTGTATGATTCTGTGATTAAGACCTGCCATTCCCATTATACAGTAAACTCTATAAAAACAGGTACTATATCTGCTTTTATTTACCATTGGATCCCCGGCACAAAGCATAATGCTTGGAACATAGTGAGTACTCCAAAAAAAATTGTTGAGTAATAAATAAAAACAAAAACTGTATTAGATAGCCACTCTCATCATTTTAATAAGATGGATTAATAGGTCCATCCAAGAGCTCAATTTATGTAGCTATTTGGAGGTGCATCTTGAAAACACCTCATCTCGGCAGGCCCATCAGTTACCACATATAGGTTTTTTTTCCTTCAATTTTTTTTTCTTATGGATGAAGAAAGAAGTTGGTAAACCTGCCCCTAAAACTTTGCAAGATGAAGTTTTCCTTTCAATATCAATCTCACAGAACATAAGTGCCAACAAGATACCTGTTTAGTATTTAAGTGGAATGGTTTTCCTGTATCTAAACACTAAGTACAATATTTTTTTCCACGGCAGTCAGTCAGTACAGGGCAACATGATCATTCACACACTGCCAAGGAGAGCTGGCATGCTCTCCTAGAACTAACAAAGGAAACAAAAATGGTAATTAGAGACAAACTGGGATTGGTAGAAGTCATTTAGAATAAGCACCATGGCAGCATGAGAAGAAAAAAATAAAAACAAAATAAATAGTATCTAAAGTAACTATGGCTGAAGACATATCAAAACTTGAGAGAACCTGAGGAGAAAAACAGCTCATCGATGAACAATACTAAAGAGTGTTCCATAGGGCTTCCCTGCTGGCGCAGTGGTTGAGAGTCCGCCTGCCGATGCAGGGGACGCGGGTTTGTGCCCCGGTCCGGGAAGATCCCATATGCCGCGGAGCGGCTGGGCCCGTGAGCCATGGCCACTGAGCCTGGGCGTCCGGAGCCTGTGCTCCGCAACGGGAGAGGCCATAACAGTGAGAGGCCCACGTACCGCGAAAAAAAGAAAAAAAAAAGTGTTCCATAAGATCTACATTACACTCCCAGTATAGTGCTGTTTTAGTTAACTCTTCACACTAAATGAGGTATAGAAGAAATTAGGTCATCTCCTCTGGGTAGCAACACACCACAAAGTTCTTCTTAGACGTCTTGTGTTTTCTTTTGGTTTTAAATGCACTTATACATATTACTTTAAATTTTGAATGTTGTCTCAAATACTTTCGAAGCTTATGTGGAAAGAAAGAAATCTCCAAGGGTGAAAGCAATAAATGTTTTTACCTATTTCTGTTAATGTCTCCTGGAGCCCAAAGTACATGACAAGAACTTTGAAGTCCATCACGGCCAGCTCTACCAATCTCCTGGTAATATGATTCCATTTCCTTAGGAGCACCATAATGAATGACTTGGCGAATGTCAGCTTTATTAATGCCCATTCCAAAAGCTATGGTAGCTATTACACACTGAGAATAAAATAACAACATAGTTTGACAATCATTTAGCAGAACTAAAACCTTACATGTTTACCTTTTGGTAAGAATAATTAGTTCATTAACTAATTAACTAAAGTCATGGCATGAAACTGAATTTAATATAATTTCAACCAATTGCTTATAGATTAAAAGATTATCTGCCCAATTTACAGATTAAGGAATGGTGACCATAAAATAGGATTTGTTCCCTCTCTATTAAAAGAAGCAAATAAAGTGGTTTCTCTAAATGCATATGAGTACAAGACACAAAAGAGGCTCGTAAACTATTTATTATATTAAATGAGCCTTTGGGATAATATTATGAAGTTTCAAGACTGCATAGCATCTTAATATTTTCTAGCATTATTCTAAGGTAGAAGGAAGCTTCTCATTAAAGATGGCAGAATGAATCATGAATTTATCTCTGCATATTTAAAAGGATAAAACTGGTAGAATATCTAATATGAGTATACCAAGATCAGATTTACATGACTAGGGGAAATCTTAGGGAAAAAGTAGTGGTAAGCACCAAAAAAAACTACACAAATTTTTTTAAAGTATTAATAGTAAGAATACAAAATATGTACAAGTAACTGTAAATATACTACATGCCTTACAGATAAAAAGCATTTATAGAGAATACATAAATATATAATATTTGAATATATATACTGATCTAACCAAAATTATGGTATTAATATTGGAAGTGAAGGGGGTAGAAACTTCTGGATGGGGTGAGAAGGGCAGGAAGGGATGTGAAAGAGCTACACCTTCATCTTTCATAGTAGGGAAACAAGAGATAATGCCTAAATCTCATAAGCAAATAAATAAATAAACTAAGTAGCAGCAGTATAAGCAAATTATTGTAAGATACAGCGGCAAACACCAAAAGACTAAGCTAAAAGAGCTGGGAGTAGGAAAAAGAAGCGGGGAATGAGAGGCTGATGCTTTTCATTGTAAGCACTGGAGAACGATTTGGTTTGTTAAACTATGTGTGTGTATAACTGATAAATATTAAAGTGCCAGTTTTAAAAATGTGTTAAGATGCACCAAGAGTAGAAAAAAGAGGAAGGGAGGGAGGGAGGACAAATAAAGGGAAGTATGAGAAAGATGAAAGAAAAATAAATCTAGGGATGGAAATAATATTAAGAAAAAGCTCTGAGTGAATAAAACTAGGCAGTTTTGCTGTATTTAAGAGTAAATAAGCAATATAATAATTCCAATTTTTCTTTTTTAAATGTTATTTCTTATTTAATTTTTTCCAGCTTTATTGAGATATAACTGAAATATAACATTATGTAAGTTTAAAATATATAACATGATGATTTGATGTATGTATATACTGCGACATGATCGATTACCTCAGTAAGGTTACTTAACACCTCCATCACCTCACATGATTACTGTGTGTGTATGTATCTGTGTCTGTGTGTATGTGTGTTTGTATGATGAGAACTTTTAAGATCTAATTTTCATCATATGATACTGTTTTTGGATGAGATCAACCTATTCTGCAGACATGATTTTCAAAATATCCTTACAGACGCTCAGGTGTAAATGAAGGTATTTTATCCAATAATTTATTCATAACCTCATTCCAGAAAGGAAAGGAATTCAGGCCATCTTGAAAAGGCAAATAAAATACAAAAGGACATAAAACTAAAAGTCAGGATTAAAAGAATGAATGGTCACAAACTCAAAATGCAAATCTACATCCAAATGTGGTTAGATTTGATTATGAATAATAGGAAAGAAAAAAAATCTTGTCTCCCTCATATCTTTGGGAGATGTTTCTATCTAAATGAGTAATTAGTAATACACCAAGACAGAAGAAACAACTGGTCAATTATTGGCTCTCGATTGTTAAGATTCAATAAGCAGCAGCTAATAAATTTTATCTGATACTTTTCAAGCTCCAGAGATAATAGAATAAACATGTAAGCATTTAAGAATTTGGATAAAATCTCTACTCCAGGCAGTTGTGATAGCTGTTCCTAACTTTGGAAAGAAGAGGAAGAAACAGAACAGATGCCTTCAGGCAGGTATGCATTGCATCATGACAATGCACAGTGAACTGCATAGACAGAGATCTAGATACAGAGGAAACTGATGACCTATTTGACAGAAAATGCAAAGCAGAAGTTAAGTTCTTCTCAATTTGAGATGACTAGTCCAGGCTTATAGCGACAGGGTGTGGAAATGATGTTGATGGTGTTGATTTAAACCTGCTCACATGCCTTGAATTTAAATCTTCCCAAATAATCTGTACCACACCCACTGAAACAGAATTCCAGTCATTATATGAATCGCAGCTGTAACACTTCACAATAACTTCATCAATACCCTTCCTTTCTTCAGTTTTTCTCCTTCAGATCAATCCTACTTGGTGCTCCCAGTCTAATGTTTCTATAATACTATTATCTTGCTCAAAAATATAGAGTAGTCTGTCACAGTGGTTTCCAAATTCTGTTCTGCAGAACTCTGAGGATTCTAAAATACCCCCAGGGACTGACTTGGAGATAGAGAAGCTCTTGGACCCCTTCATCCGTCACATCAACTTCAACAAGAATGATTCTACTTTAATCTGTTTTACCTATTAGATAAAATTTCATTTAAATAAAGAATTCTACGGCTAAAGTAGTCTGGAAAAACTAGAGAAACTTTACACCAATCCCAGCTTGCCTCTTTGCAAGTTTTAAGACCCTCTACAACCTGGCCAAACAACCCATTCAACTCTTTTCCTACAAGTCTCCACCATTCCTCCCTGCCTTTTTACCTATACTTTGTGCCCTTCCTACTCCATACTCCCTTCTTCGCCAACCATTGCAAACTACTTACAATTTCCTGAACCCAGTACGCTCTCTCATATCACAGTGCCTTTGCACATGCCAGTCTTTCTTCCTGGAATTCTATAACCTATTCCTTTTCCCTCATCACCTCCTGTCCTTGCATACTTGACAAACTGTTATTCACTTGTTCAGATTCTATTCAGATTGCTTCTTCCTGGGTGAACCAACTCCATTACACAACCTAACTTAACAGCCAGCATTCCCTCCTCTGTGCACCTAAACACTATTCTATGTACAGGATGCCATTTATACTAGCCTGCAATAGTTTTCTTACATATCTATCTCCCACATTATATACTGATTCTATCAGAGTGACTGCTTTATGCTCATCAGAAAGAAGGTATTCAAATGTATATGTACGAATAAATCACTTGGCTGTACACCTGAAATGTTTTTATATACTTGTTTTTCGATTTTTTAAATCTAGGGATTATTCTAGAATATTTTTCACAATTAGAGTTAAATTATGAAATTCAATTCCAACTTTAAAGAAATGTTTTAATTAATTTTTTTATTGGAGTATAGTTGATTTACAATGTTGTGTTAGTTTCTGCCATACAGCAAAGTGAGTCAGTTATACATATATGTATATCCACTCTTTTTTAGATTCTATTCCCATATAGGTCATTACAGAGTACTGAATAGAGTTCCCTGTGCTACACAGTAGGTTCTTATTAGTTACCTATTTTATATATAGTATGAAATTAACAACACTGTAAATCAACTATACTCTAATATAAAATAAAATTTAAATTAAAAAAATTTAAAACATTTTTAACTAAAAAAAAAAAAAACAGTTGATTGTCCCTCCTGGAAAGAAAAGAAGAAGAAGGTATTCAATAAAGATCTTGTAAATAAATATTAGAGAAATAATCTGTTTCCACTATGGGGAACAGACAGTAACGATGCTCAATCTTCACACCTGAATTTCATCTCTCATGAACCTATGATGAACTTGCTTCCTTAAGTTAATACTCAGTCCTGCATGGTATGTTCCACAGGCTAACTTCAGTTTCTTAAGTTCAGCTGTAACTCGTTCTGTCATTCTTCTAGAAGGACAGTAGATGATAGCTGGACCTTCAAATTCCCAAGCAGAACTAAAGAAAAAGAAGAGCAAAAGGACAAACATATACATATAGGCTTCAGACCAGTTTGAGTTTTACCTAATTTAATTTTCCCTTTCTTTTTAAAATTTTAATTTCATTTCATTTTAATTTAGTTTTTAAACTTTAATTTTCCTTTTAGTAAAAAACTAAAAGGAGAAAGCATATAAAAAACAATGACATATTTAACAAATACCTGAAACATTTTAGACACTCAAACGTGGAAATAAATTATATTAAACCCAAACACCTTTGGCTTCACTTTTTTGTTCAAATTAAAACCAGAGACAAGTTTATTTATTGAAGCGGAAGCCTTGCTAAAATCCTGTAAACTAATGGAAACGCAATTACTGTCCTTTGGAATTGCAAAACACCAGATTAACAATTAGTCTTCATTTATATAAGAAATGTAATGTTTACATAGGAGAAAATAAAATTTATATTATTCTTATTCCCTCTTATGATCGTAAAATTGAATTTCTATACCTGTTTACTAAAAAAGCAAGAACTTTCATGCAATGTAAAAGATCATTTTTATAGTTCAAGGAAGTATTTACTAGTATCTTGAGACTATATGACCATTATAGAAAATAACATCTGTTAGAAAGCCTGTTTTAGAAACTTGTGCTTACTTATTAAAAGTATAAATAATGATTTCCATAGAACCTTTATTTAATTCCTCAACATATTCATTTACGTAAATACATTCATTTATCCTGACTTAACCAATATAAAAAGAATATATTATTTAGATTTAGGAAAAGTTATTTTATTTAATTTTTAATGTGCATAACCTGTGATACAATTTCAATTTTAGGAATCTATTTTACAAACACACACATCTGCCAAAAGATACATATACACAAATATTCACGACAAAACTATAATAGTGAAAAATAATCTAAATGTTCATGATCATATACATTCATACTACAAAATGTGAAGTAAATATTTAAAAATTAAATGTATATAAAACCTTTAAGAAGGACTATGGTAAAAGTCACTGAAAACTTAGAGAGGAAAAATTAGACAGTAATTTTACTCTACGAGTCTTACTGAATAATCTACTCAAAGCAATTTTTGAGAGTGACCAAATGGACTTCCATGTTCATAGTAGATAACTCCACAGACTGAAATAAAATGCAAATTATCTTTTTAATGTATAAGAATCTCATTAAAAAAACATTTTTCGGGCTTCCCTGGTGGCGCAGTGGTTGAGAGTCCGCCTGCCTATGCAGGGGACACCGGTTCATGCCCCGGTCTGGGAAGATCCCACATGCCGCTGAGCGGCTGGGCCCGTGAGCCATGGCCACTGAGCCTGTGCGTCCAGAGCCTGCGCTCCACAATGGGAGAGGCCACAACAGTGAGAGGCCCGCGTACCACAAGAAAAAAAAAAAACAAAAAAAAAACATTTTTCAAAGAAGGAAAAATTGTGCACCAAAATGTGAATATTGTAACATCCTAAACATTAAACATAATATATAGAAAAATAGCAGCAATACTTTATATAACAGGAGAAAATTGCTGAAAAGATTGACATACTATAGCAACCTAACAACAATAACAACAACAACTGGGAACACATATTCGCACAGTACAAAGAACAGACACCTAAAACACTAAATGCAAAAATACCAACAGTAATAATAACTGAGGAATGGGACTGGAAAAAAAATCTACGTACTCTTCAGTTTACATGCATCTGTATTGTTCAAATTGATACAAACAATATGGATCACTTTTTACATTAAAAAAAGCAGAAAATACAAAAATCTGAACTTATAGAGCAGAAAAATCAAAACAGTAAAAATTCCTATTGATTACAGCAGTGAAATGGCTGGTAAAAGGACCTAGCTCCTTGTCTTCTTTGAAGAAAGAATTCAGCAAAGAGACCAAGATTGTGAAGCAGATACAGCATTTATGAGAAGCAAAGTATATGCAGAAGAGCACATGGGTGAACTCGCAGAGTTAGCTGCACCCAATAGGGGTGGCTTAGATCGCGTATATGGGGCAGTCTTCCAGGTTTTCCCTAGCCAATCATCTTGCTTGTGCCCATATTTGGCCTGACTCAGGTTCCTTCCTGGTCAGCTCAAAGGTTTCTGGGAGGTTGGCAGGACATATTATGGGCTGGTGTCTCTTCCCTCCTTTGGCCCCTAGAGTTGTGTTATCCGGAATTCCTTAGGGGACAACTGAGGACCTTCTCTACACGTGTTGGGCTGAGAAATCCCCCTGCCCACAAGAATGAGGAAACTGTGGTCTCAGGGCCCAATGTTCCTTCTGCCATCTTAAAGTGACAGCAGAAGACTGGCTGCAGCTGCTCAGCCTGGGGCCCATCTATCGCCTACCTCAAATCCCGTCTGGGAGGTATGGACCCCAAGGAATCTTTATTGGGAGGATGAAGGGGGAAGGTCCTTCTGTAGCTTCTTCAGGCTGCCATTGGGCTCATGGGCCCTACCTAACTGGTGCCGTGGAACTCTCACCCGGCCTTGTCAAGGGACCCCAGAAAGGCTTCTGCTGTTATCCCAGCAGGATCTGTTTCAGGGAGTGGCTAGAATCCCTGCATAACCATCATCTTGACATGGAATTGCTGCAAGCTGGAAGAAACAAACTTAACAAGCAGATTAAAAAGGCAGGGGCCAAAGATCAGTAAAAGGACTATTGCAACTAGAGGCCCAAACAGGGGTAAGAACAAGGTTACACTTGGTAACACTCCTCTGATTGCAGTCCAGATCGAGTCAGTGCTTGGGTATCCCTGTGCGAAGGAATGAAGCCATCTGGCATACGGTCATATATTTTCCTGATGTCCTCTTCTACTAGCTCAGTGGTGTGGATGTGGGTACAACATGTCTTATTAATAGGTGCAAATACCCCTCTCTGTTCAGCCAGAACAAAGTCCAAGACCAGTCTGTTATCCATCACTACATCAGCTGAGGAACTAACAGACAACGAAAGTTTGGAAAGTGCATTCCCTGTGGACCTACTCAGAGCTGACAAGGTTATCCAAAAGTGTGCGGAGCTCTGCTTCATGGTAAGCAAAGCCTTCCCAAGGGGACACCAACCCAATAGCAGCTCCAATCCCTGACAAAATGAGGCCAATTGCCCTTTTGCCCCAGGGGTGGGTGATATTATGGATGGTAATACCTAGGTTCCTTTGATTACTCAGTTGGCCTAAAGTACACTGTCCCGTAAACAGAGCACTGTCTACACAAGGAAAGGCTACAGCTAATCCCGGGAAAGGGAAAGAAGAATTGGGGTTGTTCTGATGAGGCAATGGGTTTATGTCTAGACCACAGAGGAACAGATATCCAGAAGGGGCACATGTCTGACGCACTGTTGTAGAATTAAACCAACTCTCTAGAGAGCCTTCCCAAGAGGGGATCCCGTTACAGCTTGCGGAGGGAGGCCCACCATTATATGAGGGTGCATGGGGGTGGGGACCCCTCCATAGGCCTTGGGTTGAGGGGGGCCTACATTATACTCCAGACAATTGGTGTTTTTCCTGCCCAGTAAGTACATATCCCATCTAGGCTTTGTCCTTGTTTTTTAGTCTTTGATTGGATTTGTGGTGAGGGCAATTTCCACCTGTATCTTTGTCAGGGCGGGTGAGAACAATTAAACTGTGGAGTAACAGAAGCATTGATCAGATTCTGAAGGTTCCCCAGAGTGTCACTGCAAGTTTTCATGCTGGTTGCATAGGGGCAGTGGCAGCAAGACAAGCTAGTCTTATTGCAATTTAAAATAAGTGTGTGGTTCTCATCAGATCTATTGACGCGAGGGGTTAAGGTCTAAGCATGGAAGCTGCGCTACGGACGGAATACGAACTTTAAGAGTAGGGTTAGAAGGACCCTCAGTAAGGTAAGGTCGTCACTGCTAGGTGTAAAGATTAGCTTGTTTTTAACCCATAGGCATCACTCTGAGGATGGAGATGACAGATCCAGCATTGGGGTAGATTTTATCCCTGAGCTATAATCCTTGAGAGATTTACTACTGCGTTGGATTCCCATTCCCCTGATGTGGATCCCCAAAAGAGGGAGAGAAAAGTTAGGGTGATTGATAACTTCATAATAGCATCAATCAGGGTTTTAATTTCGGAAGTAACCAGATAGCAAGTAGCAAAGAAACATCAAAAGAAATCATACAGTAAACGAAAGCCCAATAGCAATTATGGAGTCCCAGCTTACCATCACTTACCTTGTTTCTGTCACCCAAAGGAATCAATGTCAAAGAGAGAGTTTACTTATCAATGCAGTTGTCATTGGCTCAGAGATCACCTTCTAGAAGGGGTATTTGAGGGTTTTGGGTAGGTTCACAGGGATAGCTGGGATATATGTCCTTGGGTTCCTGTAACATATCAGTGGAGGCAGGTTTAATCCTGGAGAGACAGACCCAACTCGTGACTCCCTGGAGCTTAACTGCTGTAGGGGTGCTCAGCAGGACTTGTTAAGGACCCTTCCACTTTGGGAGTAGCTGGGCGCCGAGGGACTCATTCTTTCAGGTCTTTAAAAGCACCCAGTCCCCAGATTTACAATGGAGTGACTGGGGCTGTTATCTGGGAGAGCTGGGTTCTGTTTCCATGTTCTTTTATGGCCGTTTGGACCTGGCCCAGGTTTATAATGTATTTAAGATGGGCTTGGTTTCTAGGTCAGTTAGCATGTCCAGGGTGAGGAGTGGCCTTCCATGTGTCATTTCAAAGGGACTCAACTTAATAGCTGTTTTAGGGGCTGCCCTGACCCTTAGGAGAGCTATTGGCAGCAGGCGGTACCACGGTTCTGGTGTTTCCTGACAGTTTGCCCACGGTTTTCTTTAGGGTATGACTGGCCTGCTCTGCCTTCCCTGAGGATGAAGGTCTCCAGGACGAATGCAGGTGGTATCTGATTCCTAAGGCCTGTGAGAGCTGTTGGGTAACCCTGGCTTTGAATGAGGGTCCACTGTCACTCTGGAGGTGGCGGGCTAACCTGAACCAGGACGAATGCAGGTGGTATCTGATTCCTAAG